CTCGAATAAAATCTCAATTTATTCAAGATCCACTTCTCAACATAAACAAACTGAACACTTCTTACTTTGATTCGGATAAAGCCGCTATTTTCCTTAAAAGATGTGAATTATATTTTCTAATCAATTCTCAGTGTTTCATTTAAATATTCGTAGTATTACTAAATACTTCGACGAACTAAAAGTCCTACTAGATAATCTTAACTTTAACTTTAGCTTAATTTGTTAAACGGAAAGCTGGATTTTAGATACAACATTTAATCAAAATTCTAAATTTATATTGCCCAACTACAAAGCCATTAGTTTTGAACGTAAGTCTTCAAAAACAGGCGGTGGTATATGTGTCTATGTGCTTGATGAATTTACTTATCAAATTAGATATGACCTGTCGTTCTCTGAGCTGGATTTTGAATCTTTCACTTTAGAAATCTACAATAAGTCATCTAAAAATATTATTGCGACAACTACATACCGACCACCAAACGGATGTTTAAATAACTTTCAAAATTACTTAAGTGATTATTTTTGAAACAGCATGCAAAAAAAATAACGACCACTCATTTTTATTTCTTGGAGATTATAACGTCGACTATTTAAAATATGGTGAAAATAATAAAGTACAACAATTTTACGATAGCTTTAATGAGTTTGGAATGATGCCTATAATAAATAAATCAACAAGAATAACACAACACTCTTGTTCTGCAATCGACAATATTTTCACAAATACACTCCTCCATTCCACATTTAAATCAGGCATCATCAGAAGTGACATAACCGACCATTTTCTAGTCTTTGCAATTTTCAAAAAACCAAAAGATTTACAAAAAAAGAACTGGTACTTCAAAAAAAGAATCTTTACAACCCGAGCAAAAAATATGTTTAAACTAGAACTATCAACTGTAAATTAGAACTTTGTTTTTCTCGAAACATGTGCTAATAACAGCTACAACCTTTTCTTAGATAAATTTTTCAATTTGTACGATAAGCATTTTCCTAACAAAATAACCCGTATTAAAACTAAAGGTCTTCTTAATCCTTGGTTCACTAAAAGCCTTTTAAAGTCTTCGAAGCGAAAACAAAAGCTATATATACGTTTTATTAATTCAAAGAAAGAACGTGATAAGCATAATTACTTAGAGCACAAACGTCTGAAACAAGCTGTTAGAACTAAAAGGTAACTGCAAAAAAACGTGGGATGCTATTAAAGAGATTCTTGGAAAACAAAAAATACACAACAAAGCCTTACTAAGCGTGATTACTGTAGACGGCACACAGATCTCTGATGTAAAATCGGTGGCAACAAAATTTAATGAGTTTTTTGTAAATATTGGTCCAAACTTAGCCAGCAAAATTAAACACACTCCTGCACATTTCTTGAGCTATCTATCAAAGTCGGATAAAAGCTTAGCATTTAAAAAACTCACTAGTAATGAACTTGATGATTCAATAAAAAAATTAAATAAAAATAAAGCAATAGGCTATGATGCTATTTCAGCAAGCATAATCAAAGACTGCTACGAACTTATTAAAGATGTTTTATTAGATATTTTTAACAAATCGCTTAAAACAGGTGTTTTTCCAGATAAAATGAAAGTTGCAATTATTACACCCATTTTTAAATCAGGAGATGAAAGTCTGGTTACAAATTATCGACCTATATCGGTATTACCTGTATTTTCAAAAATCCTCGAACGTATCGTGTATAATAGTATATTTGCATTTTTGTATGATAACAATCTTCATTATTGGAACCAATATGGTTTTCGATCAAATTACTCTACGGAACATGCACTTATACAACTTGTTGAAGTTATCAGTGAAGCATCTTCTCATAACAAGTTCACCTTAGGTATATTCCTAGACTTGTCAAAAGCATTTGATACCGTTAACCATCAGATTTTATTAAAAAAACTAAAATATTATGGAATAAGCCACGAATACCATAAATGGTTTACCAGTTACTTAACTGATCGAAAGCAGTTTATTTCTCTAAATGATGGCTTTCAGACAAACAAACTTAAAATATCATGTGGGGTTCCACAAGGCTCCATCTTAGGTCCGTTGCTATTCTTAATCTATGTCAACGATCTATATAAAGCATCAAATACTATGTCTACTATTATGTTTGCAAACAACACCACTTTATTCTATTCTCACAGTAATATTATCTATTTCAAGTAGCAAATAGTGAACTAGAACAAATATCAAACTGGCTTATCGCTAACAGCCTATCTTTTAACACTGGTAAAACTAAGTTATTCCATTCTAAACGAAAGTTTCAATCTATTCCAAAATCCTTACCAATGCTATATATCATCATATTAACATAACATCAATATTGAGCGCTCATTCACAAATAAATTACTTGGTGTTTAAACAGACGAAAACTTATCCTGGAGAGCTCATATAAATCATATTACCAATAAAATCTCAAGAAGTATTGGCATCTTATATAAAACCAGACGAATCTTAGACAAATCTACACTAACTCAACTATATTTTGCATTCATAAATAGTTATTTATCTTATGGCAATATTGTTTGGGGTAGTACAAATAAATCTAAACTCGACTGTCTCCTTAAACAACAGAATCATGCAGCACGCATTATTCATTTTCAAAATCGCTTCACAAATGCTAAACCTCTTCTAAAAAGCATGAGGGCACTTGATATTTATGAGTTAAATATTTTCAAAATTACACAATTTATTTTTCAATATCAGTCAAAAAAAAACGCCGAAGGTTTTCGAAAATATTTTCCATAAAACATTAAACCGATACAACACGCGATCTACCAGAAGATTTAAAAAACCTTTCCGTTCATCAAAACTTACGAGCTTTGCCATTTCCTATCGTGGCCCAATGCTATGGAACCATTTTACAAGTCTGAGTGGTAAACTTAAAGAAGCCAATACCTCTCAATAATTTAAAAAGAACATAATCGAACTTATTGCCAATCACGATTCTTTACATGATTTTTTCTAACAATACACGATTATTTCCAATTTTTATTATCAAAGGTTACTGATGAAAAGACTTTATCTTCTTCAGGTTCTCCGGTCTTGTAACTATTATAAATAATGAAATGTACTTGTATTTAATATTTCTAAATTTTTTACGGAAATTATCTTTAATTGTAAATGGTTGCTTGACAAAAATTGAAAAAAAAAAAAAAAAAAAAAAGATATTTCTAAACATTAAAAAAAAATCTTTTAGAAATATCTACATTACATAATATAATACTAACTTTTTAACCTCTTGAAAAAAGATGCTTTTGTTAAAAAAAGAATTCAAGTTTTAGGAGAGAAACCACATAGGTACTCCCTGTCCTTAATACGCCCACCCCCTTTGTACGTTTTTGGTTGATTCCCTTTCCCCCATACCTGCGTACGTACTTTATGGAACACTCCTTATATTGTTAGCATTTCTTTTATTTTATTTTTAATAATAAATTTTTGTTTTTAGATATTTTTTATAGTTCTCTGTTTTGAATTAGTTTTGGACAATTTGAATTGTTAATAAAAATGGTATATAATATTTTTTACTATATCGTAAACAGTATTTTTATTTTTTTTTTGTTAAATATATTGATGGAATTAAATACTTAGTTCTATCAATATATATATATATATATATATATATATATATATATATATATATATATATATATATATATATATATATATATATATATATATATATATATATTGATAGAATTAAGTATTTAATTCCATCAATATATTTAACAAAAGTATATATATATATATATATATATATATATATATATATATATATATATATATATATATATATATATATATATATATATATATATATATATATATATATTTTGATAGAATTAAGTATTTAATTCCATCAATATATTTAACAAAAGTATATATATATATATGTATATATATATATATATATATATATATATATATATATATATATATATATATATATATATATATATATATATATATATATTTATATTTGCTTTTTCAAATATATTTAAATATATTTAAAAAAGCAAATATAAAAATACAAAATAATTCATTTATAAATAAAGAACCAATTTAAAATTAAAAAAAGGCATTGTGAAAAATTTCCAAAAATAAGTTTGTTTATGCTTATCTCAAATGTTTTGCAAAAATAATGCGGTGATTGTAACAAAAATACCCCAACAGATTTACCGCATTTTGTTTTTATTTTAGAATAAGTACTCATAAAGAAAAGCAATGATAAAAATGATGACGACACATCAGATGAAGAAAATAGTAATAATTAAAAAATTGAATAAAAAAAAACAACTCAATTATTCATTGTGACTTTTTATCAAAAATTAATTATTTAGATTCATTAATAATACCAAGAGGGGGAAATGACCTCATTCTCTAATTTTTTTAAGAACTTGTTTTTTAATATAGCTATGAGTACTTTTTGTTAACTTTTAATTTTAGTTTTGATTGACTAGTGCTAGTTTTAACAATATTTTGAAGTATCCTCCCCCCCCCCCCACTCTTCTTCCTCCTCAATAAAGTTTTATGCTACAAAATTAATTTTCTATGATAGTAAAAATCAAAGTTATGTGAAATGGTGGACATAAATTCTGTAAAACATGTATTTTTTTAAAATAATAATAGTTTTCTGCATTTATGGAGAAAATAATTTTGGTTACCCATTTGTATGAAACCGTCCCACTGGGCAGTCGTAAGTTTCCTTCGGACAATTTCAAATTTTTTTTTGGTTTATTGAGTAACCATAAAGACTAAAAAAGATACTTATAATTGATTTGAAAAATGAAAATGAAATTATGTTACTAAAGGATTTTAATTAAAATTTTGAAATATTTTAAGTAATAAAAAAACAAAACTATTTATGCGTGTGTCAACATGATAATTACTATACAATAGTAAAAGATTCGTTTAAGATTTTGATTGGTTTAAGATATGCTTTTGATTGGTTTAAGATATGCTTTATCATTAAAAACAATTAAACAAAAAAAAAACATATTTCTTACCTTTAAAAAACAATAAACAAGATGTTTAAAATAACATTAATTATTTTAATCAGACTTTAAATTTAGTCTTTAAACTAAGATAAAATTAAAAAAAGGCAGGTATAAAATTAAAAAAGGGCAGGTATAAAATATGCAATGGCATATGCACCAATTAGAGTTTAAAATAAAGTTCTTTGAATGACCATGCTCATAGTGCAACAGTTTCTTCTACTTCGATATTCGGGTTGTCGTACACAAAAGTATCTTTAAAAGCAAGTACTTCCTGGAAGACGCTGCTCGGTATTATGGGTGGAATAGACGGCGGAACTGCTCGAGCAACTATGGAAAATAAAAAATTAAAAAACGAATTCTTAATTCTTAATCAGAAATAAAAAAAAAATTTTTTGTTTTAAAAGAAAATTATCTTACTGTGACCATAGCCTTGCACAAAAAGGATAATAGCATTAACAACTCTGATTGGCTGTTCTTCTAAAACCATACTTGAAGCAGCATCAATTTTCATCCAAGTTGAATTTCTTGGATCGAGTTGTGAACTCATTTCAACTGTTTCTTCAACTGCAGGAGAAAATTTACCAGTTATTAAAAGAACACCACATTTTAAAGCATTTGTGGGTTTTTCCCCAATAACAGGTCTGTGTAACACAATAGGCAAACGACTTGCGTATGACTCCATAAATAATCCAAGATTTCTTGGGTGTTTGAAAAGTCTCAATTGATTTGTTACCGTAGCGACTATGTTACTGTTTAAACAATCGTTATTTTTCCCTCCAAAGTAGTGATATAAAAGATAATCAATGGTAAACTGAGTCATTCCTTTAGATTTTAGATAGTAACTTGATAGCTTCATAATGTAAAAAAAAATTATAAGAAAATTATTTATAAGATACTTTGAGAAAAGACGGATCCAGGATTTTATGGTGTTCAAGTCATTTTTAAGCATGCGACAAGATGGTAGATATAAATTTAGAAAGACAATATTGAAGTCAATCTTGGTTCTCAAACTTTCGGATTCCAGGCTTGGACAGGAATGGCGTGCGATCGAGCGCTATTGCTTACCGCAACTTGACCACGACACGTTTAGATGATTTTAAAACATTTTAGAAATGCGGTGAAAAAAAAAAACGCTACTCGGTGTGGTTAAGGCGATTTAAAAATTATTCGAATTCTTCCATTTGGAATTAGCATGATTTTATCAGCGTATTATGTCCAAACAAAAGCTTTAGATAGTATAATTTTTTTTTGCTTCAGGTTTTTTAATATTTAAAAAAACTTTTCTTTTTTTATATATAATCAAAACCTTTTACTACCCCAAATAGTGAATCTAAAGAGCACCATTTTGGAGTCTTTAGACTCGCTCACTGGCGTTAACATGAATTTATTTAAAATCTTTTGAAAAAGTTCCTTAACCCACTATGGATCCTAGTTCTAATTGTTTCTGACGTATATTAACTATATATATATTAGTATTATCGAAAAGTTTGTATAATTTGTGTTTTAATATTCTTGCCAATAAAATTTATTATTAATATTCTTAACATTAACTTATGTACAAATATGCTTCATAAAATAAGTATTTTCAATTTCAGATCATTTGAATTATTAAAGCTATAATTCAAATTGACAAAGTTGGTATTAGATTGTTAATTGAGACTTGTCGTCGTAATCAGAAATCTCCATCTGATGCTCACAAATTCATAACTACTGCTTGGGTTGAAGATGCAACTCTAATTCAAACAGTAAAAAAGTACTATCAAAAGTATTCTATATCAAACATAAGTGATTATAGTCAATTTTCAGATGAATCGAGGTCAGGTAGACCCAGTACCCCAACAACTATGGACAACATTGAGATCATTCAACAACTGCTTGATGAAAACAAATTTTTAACAAAAGAGCAAATTTGTGATGTCGTAAATATTTCTTTAAAGAAATGTTTACGACACTTCTCATCCACAACAATAAGACGTGGTTCGACATTCAATTCATCTCGTAGGATGGTCAGAAATTTATGCGCAAGTTTAATCCGATAGTGTTGATTTGCTGGGGCGAGGCCATATGGGATCCATTGTAAACAAATTGATCTTTTCATCAATTTTTTCAGTGATTATTGATTAAACTGAACCAAAAGCTTTTGGTTCAGTTTAAAAAATTGATGAAAAGATAAATTTGTTCACAATGGATCCCATATGGCATCACCCCAGCAAATCAATAATATCGGGTTGAACTTGCGCATAAATTTCTGACCATCCTACGAGATGAACTGAATGTCGAACCACGTCTTATTGTTGTGGATAAGAAGTGGGTTTACCACAGATCAATCGGGTGCAAACTTAGAAATCGCGCTTGGATTTCAAAGGGTGAAGAAGCACCAAAACGTGTCAGGAGATCCCAATTTGATGCAAAAAGTATGATGATTTGTGCTATCTCATTTGATGGCAAGGCCTATTTTGAGGTACTTCCGAATGGACAATCGGTCAATTCAGAAGTGTACATGCTTTTCCTATCGAAAATGCATTCTAATTTTGTCAACAAGGCCTCGAAAAAAGTAGCATGGAACACAATGCTCCTTCAGCACGATAATGCCAGGCCACATGTGTCTGATGCAGTCAGAGACTTTCTTGCTGAGCAAAAAGTCACCCGTGTCATTCAACCTCCATATAGCCCCGACTTTAACTTGTTGGACAGACATGCTTTCTTTTCATTTGAATTTTATAGCAAGGATTTGGATTTTCAGACAAAGGAAGAGGTTCAAGAAGCCATGGAGACAAACTTAAGGTCACATTCGCATGATCATATGCAACGGCAACTGGAAAAACTGAAAACAGATTTGAATGAGATTATTTTGAAGTAAGGTGCCTACTTAAACAAGTGATTGTGATTTTAAGTTTAAAAAAAATATCTTCGGTCTGGGTTTTTTCGCTACAAACATATTTTATGATATCGCAAAGTTTATCCAACCTATCGAAGCAGAAGTCAAAACAGTGTAACATGTTATTTTATAAACGGGTTTTGCTATATAATAATTCGATTTCAATAAAGTAAATTGAAACTTTTGTTATACCTTCGATACACCTCCATTTGTCCCAGTGTAAACATTTTTTTTTTCCAAAAAGTTGCACAAAAAAAAATTGTTTAAAAAATTATCGTTGTCAATTTAAAATAGTAATTTTTAATCATTTCATGCTCTAATTAGTAAGTCAAGTTAAAAAAAAAGTTGTAATCCTTTATAAAAATAGAAACAAAATAATAATAATAATAAAGAAATTAAATTATTCCGTTGAACGGAAGATTTTATTTAACTTATAATTTAAAGTATCTTTATCATAATTTTTTTATTTTTTTTAATTTTTTTTATCATAATTAAAATTAATATTTTTTTTATTTTTATCATAAAACATGACTACATAAAAAAAATTTAAATATAACATCTGTTAATTTACACAAAATACGTTTATTTTAAACAATCACAATAATTAATTTTTACTTCATTTAAAGCCTTCAGATAAAATAAAAACTTTCAATGATTAAAAGTTATTTATAACGCAACAATTTTTTTATAGCATTAACATAGCAATAATAAATTGTTAAAACATCAAAACCGTCGTGGTAAAATTGTAAAGAAAAAATATTATAAGCGTGGTCAGTTTCAGCGTGCAGTCGCACACCATTCCTGTCAAACCCTGCTATACCCGGGAAATAGGATAAGTTTGATTTTTTAATACAAAAATTTAATTATTAAACTAAATAAATATTTACTATTATTATTATTATTAAATACCTCAGACTCAACCCTATAACGTCGAAACATCTTGATTTGCTAGGTCGCTGTGCGAAGAAATAAATTTAGCAAGTTACTTCTAAAACGCCGAACCTTTTGTTTTCAAAGCCAGCCCGCTATCACTACCATATAATCCAACCAAATTCTAAAATGTTTTAGAGGTTGACCCATGCGTAATAATTACCTCGAACACTTTCAGTTCTAGGGCTTCCGTCAAAAAATTATTTTAGTATTAAAAAATAAAAAATACAAAAAACTAATTTCAATAGTGTGTAGTAACTCACTTTTTCGTATGACCAGTCCAACCAGGAGCATGCACTAAGAACGCCATTTATTGCAATTAAGCACTCAACATAACTTGGGTGTTTTAAAGCTAAGCGAGTAAATACATTTGCCCCAGCTCCTATTCCAAAACATACGCAATTTTGAAGATTATAAGAGTCAAGTACCTCCTTCACCATATCAGTCATTTCATCCATGGTCGGATACACGTAATCCTAAAAACATAAAAAATAGAAGTGAAAGAATAATAAAAAAATTATTTCATTTTTCAGAGGAACAACTTTATTTTTATAATATTTTTTTTTTTTTTTTTTTAATGTTGATTGAGAGTTGGTAAAAAAGTTTTTTCTTTTATAATTTAAGATATCAGACTCTGGGAAAAATCCAAAGACGTATTTAGATTTTAACTTGATCCTTTTACCCTTGAAAGTGTTTTAGCTTCTTCAACCTTTAAAGTTATTAAAAAATAAATATTTTTTAATAAGTTAAAAGGTTTGAATCCTGAACCCTCAAAAGGTTGAAATCTTGAATTAAAAAATTTTGATTTTGATTTTTTTTTTTAAATAATTTTGTTTATGAAAAAAAACATTCCTTGAGCTTGTTTTTAATTAATGTATTTAATTGTATACATAATATAAAATTACAATTTTAATTAATGTATTTAACTTGATACATCATTTATAGGGAGGTCCAGAGAGCGAAAACAGAGGAGAGCGGGGCACCATAGTACATGGACCATTTTTTTTAAATTTATATATTAGGGTAACTTGATACATCATATATAGGGAGGCCCAAAACTCTTGAAAATTTTTTTTAACATTTACAGTCAAGATTTATATTTATGTGAAATATTTATATTTTTGTAAATATAATACTATGAAGTCCAATTTCGATACAAAGCCATTGTATATTGATGTTTAAGAATGACATTTAAAACAATACATTACCCACATTTTTGAAATGTGATTTGAACCGTTGGATACATTATTTGGGTTATTATTATTAAGCTTTTTGTCTTTCGTGTAAAAATTAGCCTGTTTCTCTAAGTTTTATACTTTTTATTTAATTTTTTAATTATTTTAGTTATAATCTGAAAATGCAGACTGCTATTAAGGAAATCTTTTAGAGGAAGCAATGTGTAATGTATGAAAAGAGAAAGATATAAAGTGAGTTGCAAAGATAATTTTTTGTGTAGTTGCAAAGATAATTTTTTAATTGCTTAAGATATTCACAAGACTATGCATTATAGTTATCGTGCTAAAGATGCAATAGTAGCGGCAACTCAAATAAACAATAAAATAATAAAATAAAAGGAATAAAACTGGATTAAAGATAAGAAACGTTTGCAACTAACACTCATTTTAGTTTGATTTGAAAAGTACGAAGATAACTTATCTTACGAAGATAACAATAACTTATCTTACGAAGATAACGGTAACTATTATCCTCATATGTTGTCCCAAGGTACCCCATGGGTGTAGTACCTTGATACAAATTCCTAATTTTACTTTAAATAGTCTCACAAGTTTAACTTATTGTTTGGAAATTAATGAAATTAATTTTTTAAGCATAAATTTTCACTAAAAATTATGTTAAATATTACATTCTTCGTAAATACTGGGTAAAGATGGTTAGGATAACTAAGTCAAAAATTTTTTTTTGTTCTTATATACCAATTTTTATTGCGTTTTATTTTTAAATTTTTGATCAGTGTGAAAGATCACAAAAAATATTTATTTAATATAATTTAAAATAAAAACCAAAAATATATGTAAATACTTTACATAAAAATAAAATATTTTGTTAACTCATTACCTTCACATTTTTGGTTGGCTCTGAAAACTTTTTTAGTATTTTTGTTATCACCACAATTTTTTGCAAAACATTTTTTTTTGACATAAATACAAATATACTCAAATACTTTACAGACATTATAAAGATTTTACAATGGATTTTAGCTTTTGGACAACAGCTAAGTATTGCCGCTATAAATTGAATTGAAAAACGATTTTAGGAAACTACTGTTGCCCTCACTCGAACTGTAGAGGATCTCAACCCTATCAGTGATATTCTAAATTAAGCCATATTCTTTTAATAAAGTTTGAAAGTGTTGTGATTTTGATTTTTGATTGAAGACAGCAAAACCTAGAAATGCAGCATACTCCCACCTAGAAATGCAGCATACTCCCACCTAGAAATGCAGCATACTCCCACGAGATCCCTGAAAAACAATTGAGGCGAACATCTTCAACGTTGCGATTTTTTCTTCGAGATTCTCATTTACATTGTTGGAAGATCCTAAACAGGCTTCTCAAAATAAAAAGCTCGTGATTTGAGAGTTTTTTAACGTTTTTGAAATGTTTTTTTCAACAGCTCCACACGCCGCTATAATATGTAGTGTAAAGTTTTGAAATAAGAAGATAGGTGTTTGAGTGTACTTGAAAAAAAATCAGTTTAACGCTCTGGGCTTGCAGAGCAGATACCACTAAGACTCTTGCAATTGGCTATTCACAGATTAGAGTTGTGCTCCACAACATTTATACGCGTTAACGATATGTCATGTCGAAACGTAAATGTTTTGAAGAATATGAGTAAAAGAGAGTAGAGGCAGCTCAAATAAATATTTGATAGTTCATTCAAAAATGAAATTTAATAGTATTATCAATTTTCATTTTTGAATGAAATGAAATTTGATAATATTATCAATGACTTTGCTAACCCAAAAGTTAAGAAAGCAACTTTATCGGTAGCATAATCATTTTGAGAATGCAAATAATCAGTCCATGTCACTATGATTCTATTAACATGACTTGAGGATATGTCAAAGCGCAGCGCCATGTCTTCAAACAAAAGGTCAAGTCAAAATCTTGTTAAAACTAAAAATGATTCAGAGTCTGAACTCATTATGCGTCCTCTTCACTTTTTATTGTAATTAAAATCTGTAATTTTTTTAATGTTTGTATTTGACCCGTAATATATAAGTTTGCTTGTAGCAGGTTCTAAATATTCTTGTAGAACTTTAAATAGACCGTACAATCCAAAGCCAGTATAAAATTTAAAGTGATTGATTGATAAGTGATTTTCCCTCCTGTAAAGTAGACTGAATAAACCCGATGAGAAATAGAAATGTTCTATAGAATTTTTATAAACTTTTGAAATATATGGTCTATAGAAATTTTACAAATTTTCTATAGAACTTCTATAGAATGTCTTTTAATTTCTATAGAAATTGCTATAAAACTTTTTTTTCTATAGAAAAAAAGTAGGAAAAAAAGTTTTATAGAAATTAACAGAGATTCTATAGAAACTTTATAGAATTCTATAGAATTTCTATAGGCTGTATGTTTCAAAAGTTTATAGAAATTCTATAGAACTTTTTTTCCTGGGAAAGTTTTTTCTACTAATTAAAAATTTTTTTCTCAAATTACTTTTCTTTGGGATGATGTAAAATGATAAGTTTTTGTTTTTGAGCGAATTATTGTTGCATAATCATTATGATAATGGAACACAACAAATTATGCCACCACGGTATTTTGTTGTTGTTGATGACTCAGTAATATTTTCTTTAATAGAACAGTAATATTTTCTTTAATAGAATATTATTAGTTTATCACAAGATATTCTATCATTTGAAATCATTTTGGAAAGTCTTGTTAAATTTAATTACTTGACTGTTTATTTTAAAAAGCGTTAACTCGAATAAAAAAACCAAAATGCATTGCGATTTTTTTCTATAGAGGGAACGACGTGTCACATGATAGAGCCGAAAATATTTATCCTCGAAAATATTACCGAAATATTTCACAACCGAAAATTTTAGAACCGAAAAGTATACTTTCATTGCAGGATCGAATTACAAAATCCTTTTTTTGCGCCGAAAGTTTTTAAACCGAATTTTACAACCGAAAAAATTTGGATCGAATTACAAAATCCTTTCTTTTTTTAATCTATTTTTCAGTTAGTCGTTTTACAATAAAATAAACAATTAAAATTTTTTTTAAATATATATACATATATCTTATACTGCTGAGTTAGGTGAGCATGATGATGTCATACTCACCTAACGTCAAATAGCCTGCTGCTGGGGGCTTCAGTACATACATCAACTGACAAATAGCCTGACTCGCAGTGGAGTGCTGCTACATCGACTAAGGGTTTGGTATGGGTCAGCAACCTTTTCATTCATTATTCTTCGTTTTCCCTCATCGTTTTCTAAAAGCGCTCACTTAATTGTAATTAATTAAGTGTAACTTTCGGTTGTAAACCATTTTAATGAAATTCGGTTCTAAAACCATAAATGACTTTCGATCGAAAATTCGATTGAAATTTTTTCGGTTCTAATTTTCGTAAATATTTTCGGTTGTGTAATAAATTTCTCATATTCGGTTCTAAATTGAAATTAGAGATTCGGTTGAATCATAGGACGCCGGGAACGATCCATTAATTAAAAAAAAAATGATTTAAGCTATAATAAATTAAATAAAAAGACAAAAAAATATGAAAACACTCAATTAATAACAACAGCGAACAACAATAAAAATAATTAGCAAATAATAACAAACATTACGCAAACGAAAAGGCAAGCACATTAAACACAAAACGAAAACAAAAGCAGCATAACAAAAAAGCAAACACAAAAACTCCTACAAAAAAAAATAAATTATTTTTGTTATTCTTGGCAGAAACAGAAAAGCGTAAAAAAATTGTGGCGTTTTATTTTTGTTTTAATTAGTTCTTTTTATTTTATTTTTGAACATCTTTCGAACTTCTTTTTTTTTAACTTGTTACTTCGCTTTTAATTGTTTTTGTTTTATTTTATTAAATCTATTTGTTCGTTTTACTTTTTGATTCATTTTCTTGTTTTTTTTTTTCTTTAATCTTTTAGTTTGTTCATACCTTTTAATATTTTTGTTATTTTACTTTATTTTCAACTTATCTTTTTTGTTCTTTAAAATTTTTTCTTTCGTTATTCCTTTTTCTCTTTTTTTCCCTTTCACTGTTAAATAAACGCTTCCGCCATTTGCGATGTCATTGCAAAGTGATTAAAATTAAATTGGGTCTTGTTTTTACAAAAAGGCAAAACCAGAATTTGCTCACTGGAAAAAAGTATCGGCCATGTTTTTAATGATGCATTTCTTTGTAATTCTACAAAAAATATTATTATTGTTGATTTTTCAAACTTGTTTTTCAGATAAGATTACTAATAGATTACTTTTACTTTTATTAATAGTTATTAATACTTTTATTCTCATTTTCTTATAATCTACTCCAGCTCGAAGCAGCTTAATACCAAAAATTGCTGGTTTCTATTATTGATTTTATGTCATTATTCAGATCGAGTTCCACAGACATGGACCCCGAGTAGATTTTTTAGGTGACGTTGACGGAAAGTAAAGTTGTCTATGGAATGTCTTCTTAAGTATTTGTGATTAAGTAAATAGAAATGTGGCTAAAAATATGATGTAAGCATGTGAATTATTGAGAATTTTAAACATAAACAAAAAATTTTAATAAATGTTTAGTTCGTATACATTTAAAACAATAATTTCTTTTAGTGAAGGCTAATGTATATCAAGTATATATGCATATATATCTGCATATATATGCATATATATCTGCATTAAAAATAAACCGACTCGTTGTTTTTTTTTCTATAATTTTTTTTAATGATGACGAATGATTACTTGTCCATGGTATACTACAATAACTAATAGAGCTATGGATAAATAAAAAATTTAAACTTTTTAGCCGCATATCATTTTAAAGATTAGAGTTAAAGAGATTTTGTTTTCTTTTAATTTAAATCGATTTTTTCCGATTTAAGTGTTCTTCAAATAATTTACCTAAAATTTTCATTGAATGAACTGTTTTATTTTAATGTTGCTTATTAAATCTGTAAGTTTAAAGGGTAAGATATCAGGTTAATAAAAAAAGTTATTATTTTTTTTTAATTTCAAGTGTTTATGGTTTTAAAATGCATAACTAATTTAAGAAAAAATAATTCTAAAGTGCATCTTTGATGACCCACTGATCGAACGTAAACTGCACGAGTTTCGAAATGTCGTAAAAAGTTTCTTTCTACTTTGTAAGTATACTGTTGTGAACTAAGGTAATAGAGGAAATAAGTTTAGAACAAATTGTGCAATGCTTTCGGGTTTCGAATAATAATTTTGATAATTTTTTTCTTGTAGTTTCACAAGCCTCTTGGATGTGTGATCCATAAGGTCCTGTAGTTTAACTCTGGCCTTTGTTTCCGTAACTTTAATAAATGTTTTTCACTCGTTTTTTATTTTAGAAATTATAGGATAATATATAATATGGAGAAAAAAATGATAGAAATCTGAAGGGTACTTCTTTATGAGTATTTTTATAAAACACTTTTTGAAAGTTTGATATCCAAGAAGTATGTAAAAGCAACCACGTTGCAAGTAAAAATGACGTCTTCAGACGTTATTTTTTCTTGCAACGAGTTTAGCTGAGTGTAAATCAATAACTATTCGTAGCGCCTCTTTGCAACGACACTAAGTAATTTGACTAAATTAAATTCGCGTTTATTAAATGCTGTTCTTTATATGTATATGTATTTTTATATTTTTATATGTAACAATATTTTTCGACGGATTCCGTTTTTAAATCAAATGATTTTTTTGCTATCAATCGTCTTTTGGTGCGAGAACTCGATTCGTAAAACTCTTTTGTTGGTCGTCCTTATTTTGCTGATTTATTTATTAAATCCTCTTGGTTAGTTGGTGATTCAACTAAATCATTTGTTTTAAAAATTGAATTTAGCCAAACCTAATTTCTACCATTAAATATTTCTTTTTTTTGATATGATGCATGCCATAGTACAACATACTTTGCAAGAGTTAGTTTTAATCTCTTTCTTTACAAATTTACTTTGTCTTCTCTGACTTAAATCTCTTTATTTTCCTTTATATACTTTTGAAATGCTGGAGTATATAAAGGAAAATAAAGTAATGGTATTAAAAATTAAGCAGGATATTGTAAAAGAAATTCTAATTTATACCCTGTTAAAGTTTACATTCTGGGATAAAAGTATGTTTTGATCAATCATAGTTTTGTCCTTTTAATTATTGATTGGAAAGTCTTAGTTTACATTACGGACACTTCTTTGACACCATATTGTCCAATTTTTCATGCCAGGGAAACGCTGGGAAACACATGCTGGGGAAATTATAAATAATTCAACAGGTCCACTTGGTTTCATAGAAGAAGATGCAGCTAAATCTTGATAAAGAATTTATAAATTTGATCGTAAACACCATACAAGGAAAAAATAGAGAAACAAACTCATTTGACATTTTCATTTGAGCTATGCATGCTGTTGATCTCCTAATTAGTTAAATCTCTAAAAAATTGAAAATAAGAAAATATTGTTGCTATCAGAAAAATTTAAAAGTTTTGCAATTTATTGTGGTGAAAGTGAAAATTCATTTGATATGGAGTCAGGTAAAATTAATGACTTAGATGAATTATATTTAAATGTTGACAACGTTGACAAAAATCTAGAACTAGATATAGATTTAGAAAAATAAAGTTCTAAACTGCATAATGTATAACTTTATAATCGTTTGTCTACTATATAAATTTATTAAATATATAAAACAAATATTAAATAAATTATTTAATTGTAATGTACAATAGAATATACTTGTTATTCTTGTTTCCAAACTCCAATGATTTGGCTCAAATCATTGGAGTTTGGGAACAAGAATAACAAATATATTCTATTGTACACTACACAGTCAAGAAGCTTTGAAAAACAGGAAAATATTGAGATAGATCTGTAGTTAGTTTCTATTGAATCATTGCTGTTTTTATAAATAGGAATTATTTTCGCAAATTTTAATTGATTAGGACAGACTCCATTTTTAAGGAAAGATTAAAGATAATGAAAAGTGATGATTCTATAATATCAAAGACTTCTTTCAAATAGGATATAAAAATAGGAGGGCCGAAAATGGCATATAAGAAGACTTTTTATTCAGTACGAAGGCTTGGTACATTTTACATAGTTTTAGAAAAACATCTTTTTACTCATTAAGTCAAAAACAAAAAAACAAAAAAATTATTCTTATTTACAAGGTAAACGTTTATAATAATTATATTTAACTAAATGTGTATATTAATATAATTTAATTTAACTTATTATAATAAAATATTAGTTACAAAGTAAAAAAAAGTATTTATAAAGGAAATTGAATTCAATTAAAAAGGTAACTTTTATATATATATAATAAAAATATCTTACAAAAAAAATCATGATTTGAGTCAATAATGAAATTAAGTGATTATAAATTAATATCGTATTGATCTCACTCATATTATATCGCATTTTGTGTTCAGAATGAAATCAACAAGTGATTACATTTGATATCATTTTGAATTTATAAATGTTGTAAAATCATATCTTCATAGCATGAGATCATTATGATATCACCATAATATTAAATTTCTGACTGAGATGTCATCGAATACGGACTTTACAACTTTACATTGGCGTCATATTTATCTTTTAGACTAAAATTTATCTTTTAGATAAGAAAAGACTCAAACCGCCCGTAAATTTATTGTTTGTTTTTAAACAAAAATCAAATTTAGTTCATTGAGTTCAATATTTGCATTTATACTTATAGTACTTATAATATTATTAACAAAAAACTGTTATTTTTTCAGCTATAATTTTTCATAAACTTTTTATCCATCAAGTGTTCATTTTGGCAGAATTATTTTATTTCTTTAACTACACGTCACGTTTACTTTTATATAATTTAATATTTTTTATTTTTTAGGTTGCTTAATTTATTATTTTTATGTTTTATTATTTATTTTTATTAATTAGGGTAGAGCGGGCTAGTTGAGCAATTTTTACTAAATCTAATAGATCTCATGAACGATGCGTCAAATGACAATTTTTTCACTATTGGAAAGATAATTTAACCTATTAAAAACTGGTTAAAAAAAAAAGGAAAGTTTTTAGATTTGTTCGAGAAGATATTGCCTAAAGTTTACCGAGCTGCTCAACCTGCCCCCAACGGGTTTAGTTGAACAACTATGTTAGAAAAGTTGAGCAATCAACGAATAAATTAATATGGATGATATGGAAGTTGGATAAATTATCAATAAAACTATTTTTAACAGTAAGCGTCTTTATAATTTATAAATGATGTAAGCGAGAGAAAAATTTTAATGATGTAAGCGAGAGAAAAATTTTAATAGTAAGAGCGCGTCATAAAATATTAAATAAAAGTTGTTCTTTTGTGTTCGATAGTTTAGTTTTATTTATTTTTTTAAAAGTTTTTTTTAACAATAAAATTAGGCGACACATTAGTTAGGTTTTAAAAAGAACAGTAAAACTAGGGGAGACAAGTTAGGTTTTAAAGAGAACAGTAAAACTAGGTGACACATTAGTTTTACTGTTTTTAGGAAAAAAATAACTAAATATGATCAAAAGTCTGACGAATTAATGAAATATCAACATTTGAGTGATGGCAGATAAAATATTTATATAAATAAAATAAAAAATTGCAATTATTTTGTTTTTACTTTTCTGTCTAAAATAGAAAAAGTGACCAACAATCTTTAGCATAGTTTTCAAGATATTTTAATTGCCCGATTTGCCCAATACTCAATAAGACCCGCTCTACTCTCTATTGGTTATTATAATACAAAAAATTTTGTTTTATAATCTACTTTCTACTTCATATATCTTCAATTTCTTACCTCTGGTAAAATGTCGGCTTTTTCGTGTTGTCCAGGAAAATTTAGATGATACACAGTAAAGTTTTCAAGAACCGGCTTAAATGGTTCAAAAGAAAAAAAAGATTCAAATGCAGTAGCATGGTTTTGACCTATGTCATGTAATGTTACAAGAACAGCGTCGGTGTTTTTTCTGCATTCAATACCCACATGAATGGTTCCTTCAAAATAAGTAATGTAAATTTGTTAGTAGACATAAAAACATTTTGTAACATAATATGTTATTATAACTATATGCTAATTATAACTAATATATATGTGTATATATATATATATATATATATATATATATATATATATATATATATATATATATATGCAGAGCTGTGGCTAGGCTCCTCCATGCTCATTAATTAGGAAGAGGCCAGCGAATTTAGGGGGTCTATTTGCAAATTTAAGAGCTTTTTTGAAAATGTAAGGAGCGTTTATTTTTATTTATTAAGTAATACATAAGAAAAGAAAATCAGGGGCAGATGCAGCAATTTTTGATAATTGAGCTACCTAACTTTTAAACATGCAGAAAACTCCTAACATTTATATGCTTATACAGCGCCGGCCCGAGGAATTCTAGCGCCATGGGCACGGATTCAAATTGCGCCCTTTATGAATTATGCATTATTATAAATTATAAATCATTTATTTATTAAATTAAACAGGAACCAATTTAAACTTTATACAATACTAAAAATTAATTTTTCTAGCCTTTAAATCGGCAAAGTTTTTAATTATTTCGCTTATGTCTAATTGTGTTGCTATTTCATTTTCGATGGACAATATAGCTAAGTTATTCAATTCTTCGTCACTCTTAGTAGATCGTAAAAAGTTTTTTATTAACTTTAATTTGCTAAAACTTCCTGCACCACTTGCAACAGTAATTGGTATGGTTGGCATTATTCTTAATGAAATCCAAATATTTGGACCACATTTTGCAATCCTCTAGATTTTATAAAGTTCAAGATGTTTAGAGGACGTCCAAGAATATCTTTAGGCAAAAGGGTGGATGCCAATTTTAATTTTTCAAATAATTCGGCGCCATTAAAATCGCAATTATTTTCCATTTTTAATTTCAAATGCAGATCTTTGCAAAATTTAAGTAAGTCATCGTCTGCAGGTAATTTCTTCAGATTATATAATTTTCCCCAAGTTTAGTGGAATTCATTCAGTTGTTGAAATCTTTCTTGAAGAGATGCTATGGCATTATCTAAAATAACATTAAAGACGTTGTTCTCAAAATTGTTCTTTGGACTTACAATCTTATCTCTACCCTTATAAGCAAACATTTGTTTTTTTCAATAAATATAAGTTCAACTTCCAAAGATTCAGCCAGCTCTTTTGCGCCCAGTAAAGAACTTTCAAAACCAGTTTTCCTATATTCTGTCATAAATTCTGTACATGATTTCATAAGTGATACTACTGAGGCTATATTTATGGCTGCAGATTGCATAGATTTGCTAACAATATTTACACGGTATAAAATATTGTTCCAGGTAAAAATCTTTACCAAAAAATAAAAACTGCTTATCTGCTCAGTTAATGTTTAAACTTCGTTTTTAATGGAAATATCAGAAGAGTCTGTTTCACTCAAAGTTACTAAACCATCGTAAATTTTCGCTATTTGGTAGCGTATTGGTTTTAAACATTCAATTCGACTTTCAGTATGTTCCATCTCGATACTGAAGCTGAAAACAGTGTATATATTCGTTGGAAAATTCCGAAAAATGAGATAGACTCAGAACAAGTTGTTGCACAGTCGCTTATAACTAAATTTAGAGAGTGACATTCACAAGGCATAAAACAAGCTCTTGGATTTATTTCACAAACTCGAGTTTGTACGCTTTTATTTTTACCTTTCATATTTGCACCATTATCATATCCTTGCCCTCTACAATTCATTATTTTAATTTAGATCTTTCAACGACTTTTTCAAAATTTCAAATAAAGATTGTCCATAGGATATTTCAACAGTTTGATAGGTTAAAAAATGTTTTTTTAATCTCTATCTCATCGCTTGAAATATCAACAAATCTTAATGTAAAGGAGAGTTGTTCAGTATGGCTGACATCAGAGGTGCAGTCTAGAATTATACTAAAGAATTTTGCATCTCTAGCTCGTCTTAAAATACTGTCTTTAATTCCGGATGCCAATAAAGAAATTAACTCGTTTTGAATTGTTTTTCCGCAATAAGTTACATGAGATTCTTTAGAAGAATGCGTCTTAAATGCTCGTTTAAAGTTGAGTCGTATTTGCTCAACAGTTCCACTAAACCCCAAAAATTTCCATTTTTAGAAGTAAATAGTCTGTTTGAAGAACCACGAAAAAGTAAGTTATTTTTCGATAGGTACAAAATTGTGTTGCACATGCGATCTAACACAAGGCGCCAGTGATCTCTTTCTCTAATAGTTAAAGATACAAATTTTTATCAATAGTTTTATTTGTTTTAAGCCTACGACTAGTTTTAAACGAATTACCAAAACACTTTAAATGTTCGGGTGAATTTTCATGCGATTTTATATATTCAGTAATGTGTTTCCAATTATTGATTCCAACAGTGGCTAATGATGATTTCGTTTTATCTGAATAATAAAGTTTACAACAAACATAAAACACTTTATCAGAACTTGATGAATATAGTAACCAGGTACGCATATAAGATTCACCGTTATTTCATTTTCTGTACATTAATGATTTCGAAAAATAACGATTATTATGATCTCGTGGAAATTCAATAACATTTGTTAGGTGAGATTCTAAAACAATTCCTACATAAATTATATGATCACAAATTTTAGAATTAAGGGGAACTGGTTATTATGCAGAATCATTTATATCTATTTGAACGTCACCAGTAGTGGTAGAACTAGGAGACTGAGATAATGTTTCGAGTTGTCTACTTTCTTCAGGCGTTTCTTCCGTTTTCTCGTCCAAAAAAAAATTACTACAAACTACTACTACTACTACTCTACTTGAGAATATAAAAAACTTTGCAGACTTTTCATTTTCTGGTTTAAATTCAAATTGTCTTTTTCGGTTTGCTGCACCCGATGATTTATTTGCAGACATGATGGACTCTTAAATTAATCAATTTAATACGAAAATAAGTTGTGCATAAATTTTTGTTAAGCGATCTTTCTAAAATTAATTCTTTTTTCTAATAATTAAACAAAAAATAAATTTTGAAACGCAACACTTTAATGTTTTCAATTCGGCAAAAAATGTATTACTTAATAACTTTTACGACCTAGAATTGCACTTTTATAAATTGAAACAATTTTAATTTGTGATATTTTGAATTTGGAACTTTTAAAAAAGAAATAAGATCATTAAATAATAACTTTGCGGTGGTACACATAAACATAATGCACCCCCTAATTTTCTGCGCCTAGGGCTGGTACCCGTTCCGCCCGGAGCTTGGGCCGGCCCTGTGCTTATACCTGTCAAATAAGGATGCTTTGCACAACAAATGTTGTGATTAGCTCTTGGGAATAAAAAATACTTAAATTTCCCCTTCAACTACCCCAAACGTGAAAGAAACAAGTTAATAAAATATTTTTTTTCACTCTTCTCAAGTAAATTTTTATTTTATGGATAAATTTTAAATTTTATACGATAACCTTTTAGCGTTTAAATATTATGACTATACAAAGTTTAAACCCTCTCCCTCAATTTGAAGGGGTTACAAATTTTTTGAGGTCATAATATTTAAACTCTAAGAGATTGTTTTATGAAATTTAAATTTTATTGATGAATATAAATTTAGTTGAGAAAAGTAAAAAAAATAGCTAAAAATTTACGAGGTTTTTTTGCTTCTAGGCTTCAATCATCGTAGTTTTTTGCAAAGCATCTGAAATATATATAAATATATAAATGTTTGGAGTACACTTTATTTCTAGAAGTTAGCTCAAACATCAAAAAATGCTGCATCCACCCCTGTGTATATATAGTGCTAAAAGTAAGGCGGAATGTTGTATTAAAAAAATAAATTTTGAAACAAATTATCATCCTTTTATAAAGTGTAAATTTTTATAAATTTTTTAACAATGTTTAGACAGAATGGTATTTTTAATTTACTGAAAACCATCCCGTTACTTTTTTTCTCCACTTCGAGAACTTAGTATATGCATATATACATACATATACAACACAACTGAGAGATATTACACACACACACACACACACACACACACACACACACACACACACACACACACACACACACCCCAACACGCCCCCATTGGATTAAACCGGATGAAGTTGTTTATTAATAAATACTTTAACTTTTTAAACTAGTATAAACCTCTATCTGTTTTGATTATATCCAACATGGACTGCATTCTCAGCCTACAAATGAAAAAAAAAACTGAACTCATTTGTTAATGAAAAGCAAAAATTACTTATTTAAAATAACATTTGTGTAAATGTTTTGAAAATTAAAAACAACAATATTTTTTGTTGGCTCGAGAGAACTTCTCAAAATAAAAACATGATTGTTTGTCTTGTCAAAAAAAAAAAAAAATTTTTTTTATTCTCTCAAGAAAACTTCAAAAAGAATAAAACAAAATTCTCAACGACAATATAACGTTTGTTTATCAATTTCAGTCGTTATAAAAATAAACTAAAAGTAATTACAAAAGTTAATGTGAACCCAATAATATAAGAATTTATACCTTATGAAGTATCATATGTAGATATAGTATAACTTTACAAACAATGCAGTTACATTAACTTTCAAAATAAATCATAAGATATATTCTTAACTACTTAAAAACGCTATTTTTTTATAACTTTACAAATTAAGCGATAAGAGTTTTGAGATTTACGTAATTTTTTAAGTCACGTGCTTTAGTCAATAATCTGAATTTAAATAGCGTTTAAATTGCGTATATTGATGTCATTAAAATCATTACACTCTTTTTAAATTTAGCTCTTTTTTGCTAATCTGCAATTACATACGAATACGTTTTACTAATCATTTTTTTGCTTGTGTTTTTTGTTTAATGATATTTGGTTTTAAAAAATTTGCTTTTTAAAGTATTAATTTTGTGATTAACTTTTTAAATGATATAATTTCAAACATATATAATTTTAAAATCACTTTTACATTATTTTAATACCTATAAAGGACTATGAAGTACTTAAAAAAAGAAACAATAAAAAGCCTTTTTATCATCTCCCAACGCCTCAAAACCTTTAATAAGCGATAAAAAATAATGGACAAAATTGGTCGAGACTTTTTACTATTTTTTAACTTAAGAAACTCGTTAATAATAATACGTTATCAAACGCACAATACCGTTTAACGTTTTCCACCTTTGTAGTTTAATTTATTTAACGAGTATTAACATTTTTTTATGTTTAAATAAAATTTTGAATTAAAAGGATTTTAAATTAAAAGTTTTATTCTTGTTGTATTTTGTATACAATGTGCGTACTCAACTGTGCGTAAACAAGCCCTAATGCAATGAATTTATTATGTATTTAATTGATTTTTATAATAAAAAAAATTACTAGGCAATAATAGTTAAATTACCACAGAATAACAAACCGAATAAAAATCTATTTGATTTCTAATAAATAATCTTTTCACAGGGAATTGTGGGAAATTTAATAAGTTATGTTTTGTTAACAATAGGTTATAGGTTAGCGTTCAAAATAGTGCACAGTGGGCCTAAATTAACTTTCACTGGACAAAATTAATAAAAAATTTAGTGTAAGGCTATATTCACTAAAATTAGCATGAGAGTATATAATGTCCGCGCTTTTTATGAAAGTAAGCTTCAGCCTACTTATGAATGTATGCTTCAGTCTCGATCAGTCAACTGGTTTAATAATGAAAGCAAAGTTTGAAAAAAAAATGTAGGGGAGAGCGGGGTTGGTTGTCACGCGGGTTGGTTGTCACAAAGTTTATTACAGAAAATGTAGATAACATTTGGAACTTTAAAATCATACAATGGAAATGTTATATAAAAAAAACATTTTCACAGTAATTTTCATCTTTTTCTAGTGTTTAGAAGAAAAGTTATTCGTTTTTATAGGTTTTTGGCATGAAAAAGTAAAATTTCGCCCACTTAGAAATTTTCTTTTACAAATCGAAATGTATTATATTGTGTTTTGAATGTTTATCTTTTAAGTTTTTTGTTGATTTTATTAACTTAATCCACAAAAAATTCTCATGAAATTTGCACGCTTTTAGGTAAATTTACAGGTGTCTTGCTACTTACATAGAAGGAGTTGCTTGTCCCAAAATATATGGGGTTGGTTGTCACAATTGCCTCGATTCCGTGTACTGTAAACTATAGGCCGCTTAGAGATATTCCTTGTTTAATTCATTGAGGATTATTTAAATTTTTAAGATTTTAATTTGAAAATCTAAATTCAAAGTGTTATATTTGTTTAGTTTCAATCTTTATGACGTCAAATTGTGATCCAAATAAATTTTTAATACAATTATAGAATAAGAAATAAGATGTTCTTTTGAGTATACTTTTGAGTATATTCTTTTGAGATGTTTTGTGTATACATTATTTGCAAATATTTTTCTATGCTTAGTAAAAAAGATGGTACGAAATTTTAAAAGAAAAACTAATAGAGGTTATACTTCTGGAGATGTCGTTATGCGTGCTGTTGAAATTGTAAAGATTAACAACATTTCTATTAGATCAGCAGCAAAAAACCATGGCATTAATTACAGAACATTAACGCGTTATTGTAAAAAAATTGTTATTACTAATCCATCAAATGGTTCTATAACAGATCTAATTGACAAAAATCAAAACTCTACTTACGTGAATATTTTTGGATATAAAAATCGACTGATATTGCCAAAAAAAGTAGAGAAAGAACTAGTGACCTATCAGATTGCGAGCAGCTGAAATTTATTTTGGTTTAACTGGGAAAAGATTACTACATCTGTCCAACAACATCCGTGGAGTAGTGAAACAACATCCGCACATTTTTGTGTAAGATCATCCGCTTTTTTTCTTTACTGAATTAACATCTGTGCAACAACATTCGAAATTTCATTGATGTCTAATAACATCTTTAGATAGATGTAACTACATCCGAGAATTTTTCTCGATGTGTAACTTCATCCGCCTAAAATAATGCATTATTAAATAAAATAAATTTTCGGATGTGCTGCTACATCAACTGACAAATAGCCTGACTTGCAACGGAGTGCTGCTACATCGACTGAGGATTAGGTTTGGGCAGGCAGTCTATCAAAAAATTAAAAAAAAAAAAATTGTTATGCTTAAAATAATGCTTTACAATAATTTTTTTTTGGCGGATGTAGTTACATCCGAAAAAAATGAGATGCGTAACTACATCTGGTTAAACTTTTGCATTTAAAAAAAATAAAAAAATTCGGATGTAGTTACATTCGAAAAATCTACAGATGTAGTTGCACGGATGTTATTATACATCAATGAAATTTGGGATGTTATTGCACGGATGTTATTATACATCGATGAAATTTCAGATGTTGTTTTGCAGATGTTATTATGCATGGCAAAAACGGATGTTATTGCCCTGACCCGTTTAACTCCTACTGAAGTAAAAAAAAGCTTGCTGGCAACTTAAAATAATACAAAAGTTCCTAATTCTTGGGTTCTAAAGGAACAAGCTGGTAAGGATTGGTTTACAGGATTTATAAAGTGCCATTCAAATATTTCGATTAGGAAACCTGAAGCTACTAGTTTAAGTCGAGCGACAAGTTTCAATAAGCAGAATGTTGCATCATTTTTTAGCAACTTGCAGCACTGTTTTCAAAACTACTCGTTCTCACCAAATGACATTTGGAACATGGATGAAACTGCTGTAACTACTGTACAGAGACCTAAAAAGGTTATTGCCTAAAAAAGGATTAAAACAAGTAGCTTTCATCACGTCAGCTGAAAGAGAAACTCATGTAACATTAGCATGCACAATAAATGCTATTGGAAATAGCATTCCACCTTTTTTTGTTTTTGCTCGTAAAAACTTTAAAGATCGTTTCCTTATAGGAGCACCAACAGGAAGTGCAGGAGATGCAAATACAAGTGGTTGGATGATAGAAGAAAACTTTGTAAAATATCTACAACATTTTATAGGCTCTACAAAATGCACTAAAGAAAAGCCTTGTTTATTGTTGCTTGACAATCATGAAACTCATCTTATTATTGTTAGATTAGATTTAGAAAAAAATAATGGAATAGTAATGCTTACCTTTCCACCACATTGCACACACAAATTACAGCCTTTGGATAAAGCAGTTTACGGTCCCCTTAAAAACTATATAAATACTGCTATGACTTCATGGTTGGTAATGAATCCTGGAAAAACTGTTACAATATATGGTATTCCAAAAATAGTAAATATTGCACTTCCAAAGGCTGTATATCTCCACAATATTTTGAGTGGTTTTGCTGCGACAGGTATTTATCCATTGAATCCTGATATTTTTACTGAAATTGATTACTGTCCTAATTATGTTACTGATCGCCCTGACCCACCTTGTTTTCAGGCTGATTTAACTAAAAAAGACGGTGAACTTCATTCAATGCAGCTAGAACCACCAAGTAAAAGATTTAAAGAATCTATTCATATACCAGATAATCAGGTAGCCATAAAAATAGAAGCTCCAGGTATATCAAATAAAACCTTAAATCAGGACTTTTACAATATACTAAAAACTTTTTTAGTATATTGTGTTTTCTTTTTTTTAAGTATACAGGATTTTCTTTTTTTTTTTCAGATTACTTTTAGAATTATATAAACGAAATTAAATTGTACTTGTTTTACTTAAGCTGGTTATAATCCAAACATACCAAGAAATGTGACAATCAACCCCGCACTATGTGCAACCAACTCCGTGGGCGGGTTTGGTTGTCACACAAAAGTGGTCTTTGATAAACGATTTTACTGCAAAAAATATTTCTCTTAATGTCTTATAAATATTATAATAAGTACAGGAAATAGTTAAACTACCTTTGTGCAAAGTTTGACATTGATTTAATGAAAAATAGCTGAGCAGTCTAAAATGTAAAAAGTGTGACAACCAACCCCGCTCTCCCCTAATTTAAAATAAATAAATAAAAATAACCACAATAAATATAAAAATTCATTTAAAAAAAAAAAGCTCATTAGCATTAGACTGCTGCATTATTTACATATATACATGGTTGAAATAGAATGACATAATATCGTTCAAAATAAGAAAGCATACTTTGGGTCAGTCAGAGCCTAAAGCAAATCATTAGCTCTGTCTGGAAATTGAGATTTTTAATTTTGAAAACTTGTCTGCTTTATGCTGGTGATTATACGATCTAATGAGCACAAAAGTTGGCGTAATACGTTATATTTTGTTTTTGAATGATTGCATTTGCGTGTGCAGTTTTTATGGAAACATTTGAAATCCTTGTTTAGTGTTTCCTGTATCTCTTCATAGAGTATGCCAACCGGCAATATCTATGAAGAGGTACAGGAAGCACTAAAAAAATGATTTCAAATCTACACATATCCTTGTAGTAATATCTTGTACAAAGGTCATAGCATGTAATACCATGGGTAGTTCTGCACAAAAAAATGAGCCACCTAAAAAAGGCAATCAATCCTGTAATTACAAAAGCTTAGTTAGCAGTACAGCTAAGTATAATAGCAATATTTATAAATAGATAAATTTACTTCAAGGGATTTAAATTGCATCTGTATTAATAGGCTGATGACAATGTGGCAAAAATAACATACAACTTTTATAGCAACTGTACAGTACATCCAAATTTAAAATTTCGATGTACTGTACAGTTTTTCACTTCCAGATTGAAAAAAACGAATAGCTGTATTACCGTTATTGAATATCTTAAAATCACCAAATAGCTTCATCAACACCTCAATAATTCACCACCAGCACTTCAATAATTAACCCAAGATGATTTATGTTTTTTTTTCACAGATAATTTTTCTTCTGTGTTCTTCTGTTTTCTTCTGGTTATTCAATTTCTCTTTTGGTTTGCTGCCACACACTGAGCAGGACTGCGATGCACTAGTCTCGGCTGATAAGGGTGTTGACACTTAACCATCTACCATGGTTATTCCAATGAAATGCATTATGTTGATGTTATTCGATTGAGATGGTTTAAGATTTTTAATATAAAAATCATTTTATATTTGAAAATCTTTTAAATACAGCTGTTGCTTATTTAATAAATTTAAAACGTATTTGACGACAGTTCAAAGTTGAAGGTAGCTTATAGTTGTACCAAATTATTATTTTAATGCCATTAATAAGACAAAATAGTTCAAGTGGAACAAGACATATGAGAAATAGATTTTGTTTACTTGCAAAGTATTGTTTACCATCAATTGTAGTCAGAGGCAATTCAAAAAAAAAAAAGATGGGTTCGGGGGATGAATCCTCATAATGTACCGACTAACTAAAGAAAAAAAAAAAAAAGTTCCTCAAAACGAAAATTTAACCGACTTGCCCGCGGTCGTTTAGATATTAGCAAAAAGCGCTATGTTTAGGTACGCATGCGTAAGAAAATACAGAAAACTTTTAAACTTTTAAAATGGCTACGGTTCTTAACTACAGAGAGTTTCTAAATGGCAACAGTTTATTTGTTAATTAATTTCTGAAAAGTCAATGATGTAGCCTAATTTTTAACGTAAATTAATATAATAATACAAAAATATAAATAAAAAGAGGTAATAAAAATCTTAGCGCGCTTAAACTTTATTTTTATTTAATACCTTTTTAGTGTAAATCATAGATTTGTTTATTTATTTGAAATCAATTTTCTAAAACTCTGACTGTAGGATTTCAAAATTTTTTTTTAAACTTCAGATAAATATGTTCTATATGTATGATATTTTTCTGGTCATTGCTTCAACTTTTTTTCTATATAAAAATTAGTTTTTACTGTTATGACTATTTCCTAATATATCAAAGTGCAATTTCATTATATATATATATAGGTACGTGGACTGATTTTTTTTAATTGAACATATACTAAAATGTTATATATCATTAGAAAGCCCTTCAAAAATGTATTTTAATGGTGAAAAAATTATTAAAAACGAACAATTTAAAAAAAAGTTATGACGTTTTTAGTAGCAAATTTTCGATATATGGATTTCTTGAAGAAACTGGTTCCAAAATTAATTTTTTTTTCACTGAAATTGTTATAACTTTGTCTAATCTTATCCAAATGCCTATACCTTGGTATCAAAAGATAGATGTAATAGTAGGCTACAAGTTCATATAGCTCTATAGATAAAAGGGGTGTCTAGAGGGCCAGAGGGGGTAACGAAACACCATCGAAACCTTAAAAAAATGCAAGTTTTTCACACAAAAGAGTATTTTGCTGATAAAATTTGTTATCTTTATACACAAAAAGTTGTTCTAATTTGCTTCCATTACTTTTCCAAATATTATTGGTCTATTTTAGATTAAAGGGTGGATGTATTTGTTACGTTTTAACACCCTTGTAGTGAAATGTTACCATCTTATAAATATTTGAGCCTAAAAAACACTAATTATATTTTGTGTTATAGACTTTAAATTATATTTTTTTACTTAACAGAATATACAAGTGGTGCATAAATTGTGATTAGGGGTGGAACGATGCCAAGCTTAACGCCCCTTCCCCCCCCCTTCCTCTCAGTCTTCTCCAACCTAAAAAAAAATTTTAAAAGATATTTAAAAAATGGTTTTAAACTGAGTTTATTTAAAAAGAGAAATTAGTATTTAAGATTATTTTACCATGTTAGTGAGGGGAGGGGTGTGTGCCACGCCCAACGTCCCCCCCCCCCACCTCTTCTTATTTAAACTTTAAAATATTGTCAATAAAAATTTCAAAAATGTCTTTAAATTGTGTAAAAAGCGAGACATAACTTTAATAATCTTACCACATTACAAGATGCAGGTTGGAGTATCCACCCTAAAAATTAACCACAGTTTTAAAACTTATATTTTAAAAAGTTTTAAAATACAAATTATAGAATTTATGTCTTGGCTTTTAGTAAATGATATTAAAAAAAAGTATATAAACCAAACAAAATAAAGAACAGTAATTAGGTATGGAAAAGATATTTAACATTTATCAACTCAATAAAACATTACATATAAATTTGAAACTGCATTTAATATAGGCTATGAGAAAACCTCAAAATTTCAAAACCTCAAAAAATCCTAAAACTTTTAATTACATTGAAAACATACAAAACAGGTCCCTTGCAAACTACTACATCTGTCAATGCTTTGCTTTTAAACCATTTTGTGAAAGATTTAAAATAAATAAATCAAATGTTAATAATTGCAAAAATTCGGACAAAATGGAAAACAAACTTGATAATGTTATATATTTATTTAAAAAAAAAATAAAGGAGTGGTGGCGCCTAGTAATAGTGGATGCCACCATTCACAACAAGGCCGCCACCATTCCGTCTTCGCCCACGACCTCCTCCACAATTTCCTCTTCTGCTGGAGCTTCCAGCACCCCTGTTAGGAGGATGATAGGCCCAGCTGAGTGACTCACCATCATTCCCTCCTAACCGGACCCACCGCAAAAATGATCGATCGCTCATCGGTCCAGGGTGCTGGTCCCTATATCTTCTATAGGCACCATAGGTAAGCTCTAAAAGACAATAAATTGTAACTACATTAGTATTGAATGGTAAAAAATAACAAATAATACAAACCAATTATTTGATTGGCTGCATTAATAAAATTAACAAATAATAAATCAATGATAGCTTAAAAAATGTTAATTAAAGTAAAAAATCAAATACTGCTCTGGGTTTTTACTTCTACTGCACTTTGAAGGATAACATAATATAAATGTACTAATTTGTGAATATAAATAAAAATATAATGAATTAAATAATCATTCAGCAACATTTCTAAATCATAAATTTACCAGCAGAAGGTTGTGTTGATTGTTGTGGAGGTTGTGGGACTAAAGGTAAAATTTTTTAAAAATAAAAATACAATTTACTTGCTATCGATAAGATATGCATGCACATATTAGAAAAAATACTTTTACACATGTAAATTATGCATACACATATTAGAAAATAATAGTTTATAAACGTACCACTTGTAGCAGCTGAAGATGTAACTAAAGGTTAACAAAGTTGAAATAAAAATAAATATTGTGATTGCTAAGAAATGCATAAACATATGAAAAAGGTAAAATTTTGTTAACATACCAATTATTCCAGATGTAGATGGAACTAAGTTAAAAAAAAAGTGTAATAAAAAATTAATATTGCAATTGATCCGAAATACATACATTCATGAACAGGCTTTTTGAAGGATGCAATAAAAATATTTTTAAGCTTACCACTCAATGCAATTGAGGATGGAACTAGAGCTAAAAAGTTTTAATAAAAAATAAATTTGCAATGTTCAAGAAATGCAAAAATTAAAAATTAATAATTGCTAAACTTACCACTAATTGCAGATGAAGATGTTGCTAAAGGTAAAAAAAGTAATAAAAAAAATAAATTTTGCAATTGACGATTTTGAAATTGGTATTAAATCTATTTACAGATTAAAAAGTACTAGCTTTTAAAATAACTAACCGTAGCAACTGATAAAAGGAATGAAGATCAAAAATAATATAAATTAAACCAAGATATACATTCTTATATTTGATAATCTAGTTATCCTATACAAACTTACCTGTGGTAGGTTACAAACTTGCCTGTGGTAGGCTGGGTAGATTGAACTAAAAATAACAAAATAGTGTATAATTACAACAAAACACTATGAAATTATGAAAGAATCATAGTTATGTGGAAGATGCAACAACTGTATTAATATAATGAAAACTAACATGGAAAATGTAAAGAAAATATATTAATAAACAACAAGCTAACATTAGGAATGGTTATTCACTTTATTTATATATTAATTACATTATATTGGTTGTGGTTATATATAAAATATGTGATTTATACTTACGAAATCTCAAAAAAGCTTCATAATGTGCAGCAGGATCTAAACAACATGTAAACATTAGGCATGCTTGTATTATGATTTAAATAATAATCCAAAGATAAAGAAGTATACAATCCAAAAATAATAAAAGATGATAATAAGATGATAAGTTTTATTATATTTGAAAAATGCTAACAAGATTTTTGCAAGAAATAAACCAATGAATTATCTGATTTGTATGTTGTGTCATAACAAAATTGACAACAGATACTAATAGTTAACAATACATTCAAAAGCAAAGTTTTAAATTGAAGCATTAATCTTCTTTTTAATGTAACATATAAAAACAGATTAAGAATTAATCTGTTTTTATAATATAAAATTTTTATTAAAAACAGATAAATTATAGTTACATAAAAAAGAATTTTAAATAAGAAAATATTAACAAATGATATATAAATATTTTTTTGATTTAAAATAGTTATTATTGATATTATTATAAAAGAAATTAAACTTACTATCTGTTATAGATCTAACAACATCTCTGTTATTCATTATTTATTTTAATCTAAAAATAAAATTCAAAATAATACGATATTGGGATTTGTTATGTTTTTGTATAGTCGGCCCCCCTATCCACACCCGTAACAAGCTTAACGAAAAACAACAGAAAAACCAAAATTATGTACCAAAAGTCTAACACCTAGTATACTATCTGCTACCAATTATTTTTCGTTGATTTTTGGCAGGTGCTTAGAAAATGCATGTAAAATATAGAAAAACTAACAAAAAAAGCCGGCTCAACATTCCTTCGACATTAAATTAATGTGAGAACAGGGACAATATTTTCATGCAATATTGTCAGCAAAATAATGCATAAAAATGTTGGGTAACCATGCATAAAAGTCATATAAAAATCTAGATCAACCTTTCTTCTTTATGAAAATAATTTATGTTTATTCATGTTTCTTAAAACAAACACAAAAAAAAACGTTTACCTAAGGCTACCTAAAATAAGTGGTATAAGTAATATAATACATTTTAAACTATCTGCTACCAATTATTTTTCGTTGAAATTTGGCATGCCCATAGAAAATGCATGTAGAAATATGTCTGAATAAAAAAAAAAGCCGGCTCAACATTTCTTCTACTACAAATTCATGTGAGAACACCAACCAAATATTCAGAAGCAAAATAATCGATAAAAAAGTGTAATAACTATGCATAAATTTCTTAAATAAAGCAAGATTAGCTTTTCTTCTTTCCAAAAAGTATCTATGTGTATATCTGTTTCTAAAAAGAAATTCCACAAAACTACGTCTGCCTTACGCTGCCTTAAAAAAGAGTGAAAAAAACGAGAACCAAAATTTTAGCACAAAAATCGGTTCCGTAAATCGCGATATCCGCGTACCTATATATATATATATATATATATATATATATATATATATATATATATATATATATATATATATATATATATATATATATATATATATATATATATATATATATATATATATATATATATGTATATACATATATGTATATACATATATGTATATACATATATGTATATACATATATGTATATACATATATGTATATACATATATGTATATATATATATATATATATATATATATATATATATATATATATATATATATATATATATATATATATATATTATTTTTTATATATACGTTAAACGAAACCTGCAAAGTGCAAAATATAAACAACTAATATAGTAATAAAAATAATAAAAGTAAAAAACACTTCAATATATCATCATTATAGAATCTATTTATCATAGAACCTATTTATATATATAACCTAATGTGTTTTATATAATAAAAAATAAATAGTTTATAAAAATTTTTAAATAAAAAAATACTTTGAGGACTCCCTCAAGACCCTTGAACATAACAAGTTCCTAATGTTATTTAAAAATAATATTGGTTTCAAATGAAGCAAAATTATATGAAAATTTCAATGTTAGATTTAACGCCATAAAAAATGAAGTTTATTAATAAACTAATAAAAAGAAAAGTGTGCATTTTTATCAATTTTTGGCAAATTTTTTTTTTCACTAATTTTTTAAATTATAATTATCATATTTGAAATTTTTATGATTTTGCTCAATTTGATACGAAATGTCAACACTTTATTCTTTTGAAGATTTTTTTGTTGATAATATTAGGAACTCGTTATATGTTTAAGGGTCTTGAGGGGTTCCAAAAATATTTTTTCTTCAAAATATTTTTAAAGCCGGTGTTTTTTTTATCATATAAAACACATTTTTATAATATAAAATTTTACATACAAATATTTTTTATAATACAAAAGTATTTTGATAATAAACCCTTTTTATGTTACTTTTACCTGCAGTACCAGAAATCAGCTAAATTGCTAATATTTGTTTGTAATGTATATGTTTTCAATTATTCACCTCTACACTAACTACAGATGAGGAGGCTACTTTTGTGGTTACAACCCTTTCTATAATGAACCTCAACAGACAAGGTCGCTGCATGAGAAATAAGTTGACAACATGCCTTTAAGGATATTGTGTTAGGCTAACACAGTATCATTAAAGTCATAATCACTGGCTTACTAAGCCAGTTACAGCAAAACTTACTAACTATATGTGTGTATATATATATATATATATATATATATATATATATATATATATATATATATATATATATATATATATATATATATATATATAACAAGTAAATAATGCAGTGTAACAAAATATATTTCTTTAATCCTTTTTTTAAAGCTTATGCTGCAATTAAAGCATTAATAATCTCCCAAAAGAATTGTTTCCATCTAATTGTTGTCATTCACAAACAAGAGTTTCTAATTTTTAAAATAGTTTCAATACAATATTTGCACAATTCTTTAACATAAGTTGTGCAAAGACTGGTTGCAGATAAAACTTTTGCTCTGTATACTTAAGTAAAAAATCTATAATAATTATGTCACAAAAGCACCACGCAAATAATGAGCAACCTGCAAATGTAATATAGAACTACTTTAGGAACTTTTTCCTTAATTAGTTTATCTGTTGAAGATGTTCCGGACTTAACTTAACTTATTATATATATATATATATAAATATATATATATATATATATATATATATATATATATATATATATATATATATATATATATATATATATATATATATATATATATATATATATATATATATATATATATATATATACACTTATATATAATCAATCAATCATATATTTCTGAATTAAGGTTTTACATTCAAGAATGTTTACAAATAGTAAATATACTAATATAAAGTAAACACCTATTAATACAATAATACATACATATATATATATATATATATATATATATATATATATATATATATATATATATATATATATATATATATATATATATATATATATATATATACATATATATATATATATATATGTATGTACATATATATATATATATATATATATATATATATATATATATATATATATATATATATATATATATATATATATATATATATATATATATATATATATATATATATATATATATATATATATATATATATATATATATATATATATATATATATATATATATATATATATATATATATATATAGGTACGCGGAAATCGCGATTTACGGAACCGATTTTTATGCTAAAATTTTGGTTCTCGTTTTTTTCACTCTTTTTTATGCAGCGTGAGGCAGACGTAGTTTTAAGTAGTTTCTTTTTAGAAACATATATAGACATAGATACTTTTTGGAAAGAAGAAAAGTTAATCTTAATTTTTGAAATACTTTTATGTATGGTTACTAAACTTTATTATGGAATATTTTGCTCCTGAATATTAGGTTGATGTTCTCTCATGAATTTGTGGTCAAAGAAATGTAAAGTCTGCTTTTTTTATTATTAAAATAGCTTGTTTCATGCATTTTCTATGCACATGCCAAATTTCAACAAAAAATAATGATAAGCAATTAGTCTAATTAGTGTTATACCAAGTATACCACTTTTTTCAGGTAGCCCTAGGCAAACGGTTTTTTGAGGTGGTTATTTTTAGAAACATATATTAACCTTGACGACTTTTGAAAGAAGAAAGATTTGGCTTGATTTATATAAACTATTGTGTATTGCTAACATACCTTTTTATGGAGTATTTTGCTGAGAATTTTGCATGGAAATTTGGCTGATGTTGTAACATAGATTTGTAGTTGAAGAAATGTAGAGTCTGCTTTTTTTATTATTAAAATAGTTTTTTTCATGCATTTTCTATGAACATGCCAAATTTCAACGAAAAATAATTATAAGCAATTAGTCTAATTAGTGTTGGACTTTAGGTACCTAATTTCGATTTTTTTGTTGTTGTTTTTTTTTGGTAAGCAAAATCCGGTAGGCACCGAAATCCGGATAAGGGGGCGTTTCAACTAAAAATCTTATTTTGAATTATTGTGATATATATTATTAGATTTAAAAAAATATGGCAACATATAGCAAGAGTGTGTTAGATGCCCAAACAGAAAGTAAGTTCAATTTTTTTTTTATTCTTAATAATAGTATTAATAACTTTTTAACTCCAAAAAATAATGATTAATGTAAAACCTTCATTGTTTTTTATGTAACATATTAAAAAAGATTAATGTTTAAGATTAAAACTGTTGGTATTCATTGAATAATTCATAGTCACAGTTTTAATTTTTTTAAACACTAAAAATTTTTTTTGTTAAGCTTACACTAATGCAGTATGTAATTTACTCATTTATATGTGGTTTATAATAGCCTATTAAAACTGATTGTCACTTGTTAGATTCAGTTGACAATTTATTAAAACATTACATATAAACAATTTTATTACATACTTCATTACGTTAATCTTAACAAAAAGCTTCTTATTGTTTTTAAAATATAACAAAAGATATCATTATTATTGTCTTTTATCATATTTGGATTATATACTTCTTTATCTATGGATTAGTGTTTAAATCATTATATAAGCATGTCTAATATTTATTTCTTGTTTAGATCCTGCCCAGCTTTTTGTTGATTTTTTGAGGTTTCGTAAGTATAAATCACATAAAGTTTAAATTTAATATTCACTAAGAGATAAAGTATACAATAAGTAAATATTAATAAACATTTATAATATCTTCCTATCTATAGTAAGTCTTAAAAAAACTAGAGTTAATTTTTTTACTTATTGTATATCATCTTTTTATGTGTTTATTGTTTACATAAGTTTATAACCATTCCTAATGTTAACTTGTTGCTTATAAATATATTATCTTTATATTTTAATAGTTATATTTAGTTGTTTATTTTCATTTTTTTAGTATAGTTGTTGCATCTTAAGTAGAAAATCTTTTAACTTTAGTACAGCTTTTAACATTTGTAACTTACTGTTGACAATTTTAAATTATTTTGTGCACAAAGTTTTTGTTATTTTTAGTCGAATCTACACAGCCCATCACTGGTAAGATTTTATCAGTTTGTATATGCTAATGATTATAGAATTAGCTAGTACTTTTTATTCTGTAAATAAATTTGAAAGATTACCCATTTCAAAGTCCTTATTTGCAATATTTGTTTCTTATTACAAATTTTGAATTTAAGTTACATCTTTGACTTCAACAAATGGTAAATTTAACAATTATTACTTTTTAATATGTGTATATATTTTTGATGACTGCAGTATAAATTTTTTATTAAATAATTCTTAACCTTAGTTCCTTCTACATCTGCTATAAGGGGTATGTTAACTAATTTTTACTTTTCAAAATGTTTATACATATCTTGGCAATTTCAGTAATTATTTTTAATTACAACTTTGATAATATTTAGTTACATCTTCAGCACCTACTATAACTAGTAAGTTTATAAACTATTATTTGCAAATGTTTACTCACCTTTCTTATCAATTGCAAATTTTTATAGAAACTTTTTTTATTTTTAGTTCCATGTGTTCAACCTCCTGCTGGTAAATTTATGATTTAAAAATGTTTTTAAATGATTTTTTAATTTATGTTTATACTTATATACACTATTTAATGCATTAGTATTGTGTTATCCCTCAAAGTGCAGTAAAATAAAATTATTACTCTCATGAACATTTTTTACGCTATCATTGATTAATACGTTGTTCATGTTATTTATTAAGCCTATCACTTTTACAATTAATTGTTTTATATTACATTTTAAAGCAGCACAAAATTGACTACTGTTACATTTGTAACTACATTAACATTTGTTGACAATTTCAAATTATTTTGTGTACAATTTTTTTTTTTATTTTTAGTCGAATCTACACAGCCTATCACAGGTGAGTTTGTATTAGTTTGTATATGCTAATAATTATAGAATCAGCTAGTACTTTTTGATCTGTGAATAGATTTCAAAGATTACCAGTTTCAAAGTCATTATTTGCAATATTTATTTTTTATTACAAATTTTGAATTTTAGCTACATTTACATGTTCAACGAATGGTAAGTTTAACAATTATTACTTCTTAATATGTGTATATATATTCCTGATGAATGCAATAAAAATTTTTTATTAAATCATTTTTAACCTTAGTTCCTTCTACATCTGCTATTTGTGGTATGTTTACAAGTTTCTACTTTTTAATATGTTTATGCATATCTTGGCAATTACAGTATTTATTTTTAATCACAACTTTGATAATCTTTAGTTACATCTTCTGCGGCTTCTATGACTCGTAAGTTTAAAAACTATTATTTGCAAACATTTACACACCTTTCTTATCAATTGCAAATTTTTATAGAAACTTTTTTTATCTTTAGTTCCAGGTATTCAACCTTCTGCTGGTAAATTTATGATTTAAAAATGTTTCTTAATGATTATTGAATTTATGTTTATATTTATATACACTATTTAATGCATTAGTATTGTGTTATCCCTCAAAGTGCAGCAGAATGAAATTATTACTCTCATTAATATTGTTTAAGTTATAATTGATTAATACGTTGTTCATATTATTTATTCAGCCTATCACTTTTTCAATTAATTGTTTTATATTAAATTTTACATAATGCCATTCAGTACTAATCTATTAACAAATCATTGTCATTTAGAGCTAACCTATCAAGACTTTATTGACATTTTTTGCAAGTTTGAATGAGAAGGGGAGGGGGGCGTTGGGTGTAGCACACATTCCTACCTGTACTAACATATTATAATAATCTTGAATACTTGTTTCTCTTTTCCAATAAACTTAATTTAAAACTATTTTTCAAATATCTTATAAAATTTTTTTTTTAGGTTGGATACGACTGGGCAGGAAGGGGGGCGTTTGGCGTGGCACATGTCCCGTCCCTTATGTCAACTTATACACCACTTGTATATGCTGTAAAGTAAGAAAATTTAATTTAAAATTTTTCATACAAAATATAATCATTGTTTTTTAGGTTCAAATATTTATAACAATGTAGCATTTCACTACGAGGGTGTTAAAACGTAACAGTCATCAACACTTCAATCTAAAATAGACCACTAATATTTGGAAATGGATTGGAAGCAAATTGGAACAATTTTTTGTGTATAAAGATGACATATTTTATCAGAAAAACACTCTTTCGTGTGAAAAACTTGTCTTTTTAAGGGTACGAGGGTGTTCCGGTACCCCCTCCGGTCCTCTAGACGCCCCTTTCATCTATAGAGTTATATGAACTTGTAGCCTACTCTTACATCTATCTTTTGATGCCAAGGTATAGACATTTGGATAAGATTTGACAAAGTTATAACAATTTTAGTGGGAAAAAAAATAATTTTGGAACCAGTTTCTTCAATAAATCCATATATCGAAAATTTGCTACTAAAAACGCTATAACTTTTTATAGAATTGTCCGATTTTCATAATTTTTTCACCATTAAAATACTGTATTAAAGGGCTTTCTAATAATATATAATATTCTAGTTTTTAATTAATTTAAAAAAATCAGTCCACGTACCTAATATATATATATATATATATATATATATATATATATATATATATATATATATATATATATATATATATATATATATATATTAGCAAATAGTCATAACAGTAAAAACTAATTTTTATATTGAAAAAAAGTTGAAGCAACGACCAAAAAAACATCATAAATAAAGAACATATTTATCTAAAGTTTAAAAAAAATTATTGAAATTCTACGGTCAGATTTTAAGAAAATTGATCTCAAATAAATAAACAAATCTATTAGTTACACTAAAAAGTTGTTAATTAAAAACAAAGTTTTAGTACGCTAAGATATTTTTTAATCCTTTTTTTGTTTATATTTTTGTGATATTTTTTTAATAATATACTGATCTACATTTAAAATAAGGCTACAACATTGAGTTTTCAGAAATCAAATTACCAATAGATGGTTGCCATATTGAATATTCTCTGTAGTTAAGAACCGTAGCCATTTTAAAAGTTCAAAAGTTTTTCGTATTTTCTCACGCATGCGTACCTAAACATAGCGCTTGTAAACGACCGTGTGCCACTGATCTCTATAATAACTGGATAGCGCATCTCCTAATAAAATTTCGAAATTTTTGAAGCCAAAAGACGCCATATTGGAAAGCCCCAGAATTTATAAATGCGTAGTTGCGTTAAACTTATAGGCGCTTAAAACACAGATTTCGCTTGATAAATAAAAAATGCAAAAACCTTATAAATGCATTGATTATTAAAAACCGAGTAAATCTGATGTTATATGTTCAGATTATTTCATGGAGAGTGACATATATATATATATATATATATATATATATATATATATATATATATATATATATATATATATATATATATATATATATATATATATATATATATATATAAATTATGTATACAGGGTGGCCAGCTTTTCCCTGACTCAGTTATATTTTAAAGTGTGAACTTTTAAGTTTTGTTGTTTGGGATTAAGTAACAAAAAACCTTTAAAAAAAAATTAAATTTTCAAAAAATACATTTTTCCCTGATTTCCCTGACTAGAAAAAAATTCCCTGACTTTTCCATGATTTCCAGTTGGCTGGCCACCCTGGTATGATATTATTATAATAGCATGCAAGTGTATATTAGTATGCACCTTTTGATTAATTGCCCTCTGCAAAATGCCTGAGGCTTGTAACATATTTGCAAGTTAAACAGCTTACATATATATATATATATATATATATATATATATATATATATATATATATATATATATATATATATATATATATATATATATATATATATATATATATATATATATATATATATATATATATATTCACAACACCAGAACATTTGTATAAGATATTGCAATTACAAAAGAATATATTAAAGTAAAAAAATGTAAATAAAATAATAGTTAGCTCTATCATCTTGAACAAAATAATCATTGAATAACTTGTATAAGCATTGAATAACAAAATTAATATTGAATAAAAAGGTATTATGTGGTAAGGAAAAGTAAAAAAGTATGTACACTTAGAAAAAAATTGTTCACCTTTCATTTTGGTCTTTAATGTTGCTTATTTGTTTTCACAAGAAATATTTAATAATTAATATTTATTAATTATACAACTAATATTTATCAGTATAAAACTGATAGATGTTAGCTGAATCATTATTATGTTACTTTAGATTCAATAGTTTTAAAAAAACTTGAAAGAAACCATGTCTGTTTTCATTTATACCATTTTTACATATAAAAAATCAACATGTATGTGATGCTGTTATTTAGTCTAAAACACTAAATACTTTAATGTAAAACTGCAAATAACTAGTTATCACCAAATATCTAGTGTTTTTTAAAGTTAGAGATGGCTTTTTCAAACCTTCACAAAGTGTAATTAAAGTTAGCAAAGCAACAGAACAAAACATTGTTATTAAGTGATATCAATTTTAATAAAGTATTGCATAGTTGATGATACTTCAGTTGTGGAACAATATAAACATGCCCTCAGAGTTTCAAAAATTAAAAAACCATTTACAAAAATGTTTGATACAATGTTTTTATCATGTTTTATACTTGTAAAGTTACTTTCCAGCTACTATTGCTAAGTAAGGTCGCATCAAGTTGTTAAAATAAATACCCAAAAGTAACCAGATCAAATATTAATTTGTCTTTCAGAAAAGTTTCATTTAGAATATCATGAGTTCAATAAATTTAACAAGTTCATAGAAAGCAATACAAATTTTATTATTTCTTTATAGCGATATTTCTCTTCGTCGTTAATGTTTTGCGTGTTTTTGATTCCCTTTTATAATTTTTACACCTTCAAACATTTTAAATATAATAATATCATTGAAATATGTGACTTGGTCGAGTAGATATAAACGAAGTAAAAAGGTACATCTTCAAGCGCAACCACTGTATTTTCGGTATTCTGGGGCTTTCCAATATGGCGGCCGTACAAAAAATTGGCTTCACTTTTGATAATAGAGATGCGCTATCCAGTTATTATTGAGATCAGTGCCGTGTGCCAACTAAATTCTTAAAAAAACCTACTATAACTTGAAAATTATCATCATGTAAACCATTTAAAAGATGCTATACCAAATAAATTTATTACTACTAGTAGTAGTGTTTAGTAGACCTAGTAGTAGAAGTAGAATTTCTATAGAAATTGCTATAAAATTTTTTTTCTATAGAAAAAAAAAAGAAAAAAAGGTTCTATAGGAATTTTTATAGAAATTAACAAAGATTCTATAGAAATTTTTATAGAATTCTATAAAATTTCTATAGGCCAATTGTTTCAAAAGTTTAAAGATATTAAGAGCAACATTGGTAAAAAAGGAGGCGTGAACTTCTAAGTTAAATGCTCTTCCGTGATGCTCAGTGATAATACCGTAAAGACTCCAGGGAGCTACCCTAATAACAAAAAAAGCTCTTACAGACTAACTTCAGCTGAATAATCTGACACTACAATTTCTGTTTCTAGTGGCATGTATTTTTTTTCCACCTCTTAGAGAATTGTAAGTTAGACAAATGTTAGACCCAACAGTTATGGCTTAATTTCTCAGTGTTTGGTAGCCTTGCTTAATTAACATACAATTCCGAAAAGAAAACAGCCGAAGCTTCAATGGGAAAATACTGTTTAACCACTGAGCAGGACCCATCTACTCATCTTTTTTAGTATTTGACTGTGATGCTATGCATTTTTATAACCTGTCTTCTTGTATGCTAGTTTCAGACTTTTTCTATGCTTAGTTTTTGTGCTGACATTTTTAAATTGGCCTTCCCATCGTACTGGAAGTTACTGGGGGCAGTGTTGATGGTAGTGGCACTTTTTTGTCTAAAAAATAAAAAAAATAAAAAAAATATAATTAAAGAAAATTATAGAGAGGAACATAAATTTCATTTAACCAATCCATGTACATTTTTATTAATTTTTAAATACTGTGTTTATATATGCAATTCTTCATCTCTTTGACAGCACTTAGCCAATTCATTTAGCTTTTCACATCTGATATAAAGCATATCCACCTTTAGTTTAGAAATTAATTAGGTTAATAGTTGTTCATGAACTTTACAGTTAAAAATGCTAATATTAATTTGTCATAGAAATATTCAATTAACATCTAATTGAAATTAGCATCTACAACATCTAATTAATACATATATATATATATATATATATATATATACACACATATATATATATATATACATATATATATATATATATATATTATATATATATATATATATATATATATATACATATATATATATATATATATATATATATATACATATATATATATATATATATATATATGTACAATATATATATATATATATATATACACACAATATATATATATATATATATATATATATATATATATATATATATATATATATATATATTGTGTATGTATATATATAAATATATATATATATATATATATATATATATATATATATATATATATATATATATATATATATATATATATATATATATAAATGTATGTATATGTATATATAAATAAATGCATATATATATATATAATTATATGTTTATATATATAATTATATGTTTATATACATAAATATATATATATATATATATATATATATATATATATATATATATATATATATATATATATATATATATATATATATATATATATACATATATATGTATTAGGGTGTGTCATACTTTTTTTTTTTTGAATTTTGACTCGCATAATTTAAAAAAGGGTGAGGTATAATATTACAAGTTTAGAACCGTCAACAAAAAAAAAAAAAAAAAAAAAAAGTTTAAATACCAGGGAACCAGTGACACTATTTTACCAAAAACCCTGGGGGAGGGGGAGGTATGAACTTAAAAAATTGAAGTATTTTTAAAAAAAAACTTACAAAACGCAAAAAAACGTCATCTCTATTTAAAAAAAAATATAATTATTTGTATAAAAACAACTAGAGTGGTTTGCCCTTCTCCCACTACCTCCCACTAAAACTGTAAAATTAGGTTGTTTTGGAATTAAAAATAAAACTTTCATATAGATCCACAAAACATCTACTGGCACATTAAAATAAAGTACAATAAAGATTAATTCTTAAACATTGTCAAGCCAATAAGGTTTTGTTTAGATAGATTTCGTGACATCAACTTCTGTGACAACTCTTGTCCTTTAATCCAACCATCTCTTCTATCTTCTGTAAAAACATTTTCGCAAGCCTGGGTAACTTTTTTTACACATCTTTTGACAGCTTGAGTGTGGCAACACCAGTTTGGTACAATCATTGGTTTAAAAAAATACTCTTTGATGTCTTTAGTTGTCATGCAACAAGTCAAAGGTGGTTCAAAAGCTTCATTCCAATCAATAAGGTCCTTGAGACAAATTGCTTTAGTATTGATACCTGGTGTCCTTCTTGGTCTAACAGATAGATCTCCAAGTTGTACATTTTTATCACCTTCTCCTCTTATTTCAAGAATTTTGTTTACACTGAAATCTCTCTCCTCTTTATTTTCAGAACAAAGCATAGTTTGAAGAATAGATTCAGAGAAGGCATACCAAGCAGATCGCTTAATAGTTGGAATGACCATATTTTGAATATCGAGTGACTGGTGTTGAAGCAACTTAAGCTGGTAAAGAACATGTTTTGGTCCTTCTGTCCAATTATATTTAACTTTGATGTTAAACCAGACAGGAAAGTACACTCCTACAATAAACTCGACTAGAATAAGAAGGTTTTGGGCTGCATCGCCTTGAAGACCATGATGAGATACCCAAATTCTACATATTCTATTGGCTGTTGTTAGCCATCTGGCCATGTTAACAGGGCCAATTTCCAGAAGTCCTAGTTGCTGAGAAACATGACCACTGCGTATAGCTTTAACTATTTGATAGCCATAATACTGATCTGTTGAAAGGTCTTTAACCACATTATTACTCAAGTTAATTAGAGGCTCACCAGTTTCCACTCTACTAAAAAAAGGGTTAATTTCAAGATTGGTTGCTTCATCAAGTAAGCTCCTCCATCTACCCATGCTGCAGTAGCTATGGCTGCAGTTGCTCTTAAACCAACACCATATCGAATACTGGCTAATGCAATATTAGAGATATCTTCATAATTTCTAGATTTTTTTCAAATATTTTGTACAAGGCTTTTGAATAGAAAAAATCTCATTTTCATTAGATTTCTATTCATAATTTTCATGTTCGTTATCTTGTTCATACTGCGTATTATTTTCTTTTTGATTAGTGTGTTTTTTTTCTCTCATTTATTTTTTCTTCTTCTCTTCTTCGTTTGCAACTTTGTACTTTTTTGAACTTTTTGGACTCCATCAAATCAGCAGGCCCAAGTTGATATGAACTTAAAGATCCAATCTTTTCTCGTTGGGCTAAAAAAATGTGACAACAATTTGCTTACAACCAGACAAATTAAAATAAAATTTTCTTTTTAAAATAATCAAAGAAATAAGTATAGTAAAATAAAATTTGGTTTTCTGCTTTACTAACACTTTTATAGTGACTTTCATATATTCACTCATACCTTTTATATAAACCAGTTCATTTGGAGGTAATGTGGGCACCAACTTTACAGTCAGTAGAACAGCATTGCTCAGAACAAAGAGATATTTTACAGTTACACTCTACCAAATCAAATAGTTTGTCAATAATTAAATTAAACTTTTGTTTTATAAATTTACTTGTTCTTTTTTGAAAAACCAGGATAGCTTTGTTCCATGCAACTTTAAGTCTTGTTACCAATTATGTTTTAAAATAATTACGGGAGGCACAAATAAAACACTGGCAATTTGTAATTTTTTTGAAAGTTTATCATAAATATCCTGGATCAAATCAGAATTACTATAGTTTCTTCTGTTTAGTTTGCTTGTTTCTCTTAAAAAAGTACCATATCTTAGGACATCTCTCAGTGTTTGCAGTTCAGCTGTTGGCAACTCTTTTCCAGATCCCAAATATTGACGTAGACAAGAATCATTTTTCTATCTTGTTCCAGCAGCCTTTTTAAATTTAATTATACTTTGTATCTAGTAATTTTGAAAATTATATATATATATATATATATATATATATATATATATATATATATATATATATATATATATATATATATATATATATATATATATATATATATATACAACTTGCATAACAAATATTAAAACAAAAAACTTTAGAATGATGTTTTCTGTGTAGCCATTTAGAACCATCAATTTAGGTACGTAGACTGATTTTTTAAAATTATTTAAATACTAAAATGTTATATATAATTAGAAAGCCTTCAAATGCAGTATTTTAAATGTGAAAAAATTACGAAAATTGGACAATTCTATCAAAATTTATGACGTTTTTAGTAGCAAATTTTCGATATATGGATTTCTTGATAAAACTATGGTCAAAAACATTTTTTTTTTTACATAAATTGTTATAACTTTGACAATTCTTATTCAAAAATCTATAACTTGGTATCAAAAGATAGGTGTAAAAATGGTCTTTAATTTAAAATTTATTTCTAGGTAAATGGCACATCAAGGGATCCGGAGGGGGTGCTAATTCACCACCAACACCGCACAAAAAAACACTTTTTCTACTTAAAATAGAGGTTTTTTTAAGAAATTGATAATATTTATGTATAACATATTGGTATTATTTTATTCTACATTACTAGCGAGTATTGCAGGTCTATCTTAGAGTTGGGTGTTGGGTAAGGTTTAACACACCCTATTAAAATTTCATTCTTTTAAATATTCTAATATTTACAAAAATGAATAAATTATAAAAAAATAAATATAATATCTCAATACTATGAAAAATAGTAACTAGTGGTGTATAAAAACTGCCTTTTTTGAAGTGGGGCGTATGCCGCCCCCTGTTGCCCTAAACATGAAAAAAAAATTTAATGACAATTTCACAAAAAATGTTAAAATGCTTTCTTAAACAAAGATTATAAAACTAATATATAATAAATTGGTAATAATTGATAATACAACATAAAAATATATATTTTTAAAAGAATATACTAACAAAATATCATACATACCTAATACAATCAAGTAATTGTTCAACTATGGTCCAACTAATATTTAAATCTGAATAATGCAAATCAATTTTTTAGGAACTGTAAATAAAAGCCTAATTATTTAAAGATAAAATAATTTTTACAAAAGTCAAATAAACATTTTAAATCAACTAAAATAAGAAAACTAAAAAAGTATGCAAAAGACTCTACACATTTAATAACACTTAACATTTAAAATGGTACTCATTTTAAAACTTGCATTTAATATAGGCTATAAAATTCTCATGACACTTTATTTGCATTTGAAAGTGATAATTATCTATGGGTACCACTTTTAAATTTGTTTTATCACATACAACATTAAAAACATGTAAAATATTTATTGCAACTACTACACTTATTAATTCTTAAAATTCTATTTTATAATTATTTTGGCAAAAAATTTAAATGAAAATAAAAAAATGCCAAAAATAATTTAATTTAAAAATTGTTACAATAAAGAAAACAAGTTATTTTTCTTTAAAAATATACAAACTAATATTGTATATTTTTAAAGAAAAATAAAGGAATAGTGAAACCATGTTAACTTTTTAATTGTTTATATTGAAGTTAACATAATAGCTGCCACCATTCCTTCTTTGTCGACCTCTTCTGGCGCAACCACTTCCTGTACCTCCTCTGCTGTTGTCCCCAGCACGCCTTTTTGGGGGATAATAGGGCCATCTAAAAAGGGGGTCATCTTTGCCCCCAAACTTGACCCAACGCAAATATGACTTGTTGCTGGTGGGTCCAGGATGCTGGGTCCTGTAAATTTTGTAGGCTTCATATGTAAGCTCTATAAAATAAATAATAATTATATTAGTAACAAATGGCATTATGTAACACTTAATACAAATCTAAATATATAAAATTATTGACTAATAAATCACTTATAGGTAAACAAATTTTTAATAAGAGTAAAAATTTAAATACTTTCTTTTTATGAGAACTCAAATGAGAACACAATATAAATGTATTAAACAGTGTATATTAATAGGAATAATAAAAATTTGATAACCATTCAGATACATTTTTAACACATAAATTTACCAGCAGATAGTTGAGCAGGTGAAACTAAAGGTAGAAAAAGTTGTTATTTAAAGATATTTCAATTGCTGAGAAATGCGCGCACATTAAAAAGTAATAGTTTTTAGACATACCAGTTGTTGCAGTTGCTTATTACAACTTTTTAACCTTAGTTTGCATGAAACTAAGGTTAAAAAGTTGTAATAAGAAAAATTGCAATTAATGGAAAATGCATACACAAGTATTAGTAAGAAGTTAAAATTTTTAAAATTTACCAATTGTAGAAGATGTACACGATCCTAAGATTAAAAAGTTGTAATAAAAAATTAATATAGCAAATGATGAATAATGTATAAACATATTAACAAGTATTATTATTTAGACATACCACTTGATGCAGACGACGATAAAACTAAGGTAAAAAAGTTGTAATAAAAAACAAATAATGCAATTGATGAGGATGTTCTATTGTACCAGATGAGGATGTTCCTCAGTTTAAAAAGTATTAATAGAAAATAAATATTGCAATTGTTGAGAAATGCATACACATATTACACAGTAATAGTTTTTAAACTTATCACTTGTTGCAGTTAGAGTTGGAACTAAGGTTAAAAGATTGTTATATAAAACAAATATTGCATTGACATTAAATATATTGACAGAATAAAAATTATTGTTTTTCAAAATTGATAACTATAGCAAGTTATAAAAGGAGAGATGATTAAACAAAATATGAGTTAAACCTTGACAAACATGTTTAAACTGTTATTACTATGATTCCTAACAGAAGTTATAAATGGTAGACCTTACAAATGGTAGATCTTGTTGATTCAACTAAAGTTAACAAAAAAATTGTACAACAAAAAATAACAGTTTGTTATTGTCAAAAGTTCAAAAAATAAAAATTAAAAATTAAATTATAAAGATTATATGAGTATAAACAAGAAGCTAAAATTAAGAATGGGTATATACTTATGTAAACAATAAACATATATAAATTAGTATTCATCAAAAAAAAGGTATTAAACAATAATAATTATATCTTATATTTATAAAAACTTTAGAAACATTGAGGTAATGCAAAAATATTATGGGAACTATACTTACGAAATCTCAAGAAATCTATAATAATAGTGCTAAGATCTAAGCAAGAAGCAAATATAAGACATGCTTGTATGATTTAAATAATATTTAAAGGATGAAGTAGTAATACTACTTCATACAATACTACTAGTATACAACAGGAAAATGATAAAAGATGATAAGTGTAATTTTTATATCATTTTTAAACTAAACACTAAAAAATGTTTGTTAAGAATAAATCAATATAAATTTGATTTGTAGACTTCTATTGAAATTAAAAAAAAAGTAGCAAATTATACAAATCATAAAATAATAATTCTTAAAAAGTATTTGTTAATACACAAATAAGTATTTTTAATACTTATTTGTGTATTAACAAACTTTTATACTTGTATGGTGTTTTAATGAATCTTTGAAATAATACCGTAAGATTGGGTGGCTTTGGCCCATTTTGCATCTTAATGTCTATTGCATGAAAGCCACGAAAGTTATTTCCTCAAACACTAAGTACTTTTAGAAGCGCATAGAAAGGACAGTTAGAACTATCTGTCTCCTATTTGAAAATTATTTACCTGAAGTATCTTTTTGGTGGTTTAAATGGTGGGCCAAAGTTGCCCTATGTGTTAGGGTGACTTTGGCCCAACCCTGTAAAAAGGAACTAAAGGAAGCAAAACAATAATAAAAACAACATTATTGAGGCAAAAAAAATAAATATACAAAAATAAAGTGACAAAAAAAGATTTAGTAACAAAGTTCTTGTATACAGTAAATAAAATATAGGTACAAACTAAACAAGTATAGGTACCAAGTAAACAAAACAGTTTAGGTATAAAGTAAACAAAAATGACAAAAATATTGTTTTAAAAAATTTAGTGAAAAAGTTCTGGAACTGAATAAATTCCTCTTTTCGAAATTTTCTTTGGTTCCTCAATAAAATTGACTATTTCAGACTAGAGAAAAAAAAGTTGCTCTGCTGGTAGTCACCATTTCCAGTTAAGTCCATTTTTATTCATAATAGTAATTTCTGCTCCATTTTATCTTAAACTGCAGAAAAAAAAATTTCAAAAGTTTTTTTTTTAATTTTTCAGTAGTTTCATTAATATAAGTTATTAAATTAATTAGTTATAAAGTTTACTAATTGATTAGCTAAATATAAATAACTCAAAATAAATAAACAAATCAGTCCAGGATTTAACTCTCCATTGCATTTAACAATTACATAACAATTCTCTACAAGATTTAATAATTTCTCCTTTTTACAAACATTTTTTGTTTTATCAATATTTTGAAAGTTCTTTTTGCTGAATGCTGAATGATTTAAAGATTCTGTATGACTTTCTACAACTAAACTTACATCTGCAAAAATTAGATTAGAAGTCTTAGTAGTTCCAGTATTTGTACTTGGGCCAGCAAAGTCAATGTTGTTGGTCTCAATTGTATTTATAATACTGATAGGTGTATCTACATTATTTGAATTTAATCTATAATTTTCATTTATAACACAAGATGATATATCTGTTGAACATAAGCTTTTCCTGGGACAGCACATACTTTACGTCGCTTTGGTTTTTTAGAACCATCTGAGGGATCATCTAGTGACTCAAATAAATGATCTAAAAATGATTGACTTACTAAACCAGTAGTTGAGTCTAAACCTACATTACAACATGGTAGTCGTGAAAGCACTCGAGACTTGTCTAATGGAAAAATTCCAGTTTTACAAAAACCAGCTCTAAGGTTATCATTCCCATGTTCACTTGGTAATTAAACGGTCTAAAAGTCTAGGAAATTCATCTTTAGGAAGAGAAGCAACTCTTCTTCCTTTTCCTTTCTCC